AACGCGCCTTATCGCTATTAGTAGACGACTATAATAACACTACGACCGGCGCTAAGATTAACCTTACTACGCGCGCGAATCCTATACCGTTATAACTTCCTATACCTCTAGAGATACTATTATCCTTCTACCGTCCGATTATTAACTAAAACATTACTATTAACGCGACCGCTGTAGACGCGATAGTCGGTAAGAGCAAGAATAAGCAGAGGGCGTAGGGTAGTAGTAGTAGTAAGAGGAAGAGTAAGAACGCGAGGTAGGAGCCTAAGATTGCGATAGAGAACGCGATAATACCTTAGCGAACGCCGCTAGCGCTAGTTAACGCGAATATCTATATAAATTTGTATAGAAACGCGACTTAAATCGCGCCTAGTATTCTATATAGTATTACGCCGCCCTCTAACTAATAGTAGCAGTAGCAGTACTAGCTCGCACCTCTGCCTATAGGCTTGTTCTACGATAACTATAGCATTATATACTACTAGGGTATTAATAGGCGCGCCTACTATACAGATCTATTAAGTCTATAGTCTATAAGCAATACTTCTATACGTATTTCTACTATAATATAAATAATACCTCGGATTTAGCTATATCGCTGTTTTGCTAACAAACTTTAGCTTTATATCTAGTAATATACCTAGTATCTATTAGCAGAGAATGCGGGGTCGTTAAAGTCTTTTAAAACAGTGCGAAATCTATTAAATTGCGACCGTACGACCTCTTACTATCGACCTTTAGTATGCTAGCGGAAATCGCACTACTACCCTTACTACTACTACGGTCGACCTAGTAACTACAACGCGCAGCGACGACGAGATCACGTTTTCTATAGTTACGCATACTACGGCGCGGACTTCTATATCTCACCGAGTCCGCTACGGTAGGAACTTGCCGGCGTAGCGTATCCTAGCGCTTTAGGTATTATACGGTTTGCCGTTACCGCCTACTCGCAGCTATTATAGTGCCTACTTAGATTTAGTTACCCGTAAGAAAGACACTGCCGACGACAGCTTGTTGGCCGCATTACCGGACTGCTATATACGATATAACGAATTGGAGAAACCTAACATGCTATTGTGCTATTTAATAAGTCGCGCTATACAGTCGGAGAGCCGATTTTTAGTTCTATACTACCTGTTACTAAAATTAGTATGTAACTTAGTGTTCTTGGCATTCGTAGATCTCTACTACTATGCCGAAAACTTTGTCGTCGCTTTTCTAGTAGTATAGAGCCTTTAAAGGTGTTATTATAGCGCGCCTACCGGACGACTAACTTAATAAGATTAAGCGCCTCTTCGACGAAAGCAATCTGTCTAACAATGCGATCTCTAAGGTCGTGAACGTTGCTAGGCGGACTATTGATAAGCTCTATAATAATTACCTCTTGTTTAGTGTATTCTATATTAAGGACCTTGCTAAACTCGGTCGTCTAAGGCGCCTATTACTAATCTATAAAGATGTAGGTGTATCCGCCTATTTCCCGCCTGCCTAACTAACCTAGCTCTTACTATAGCGTATATTCGACTTCCTCGCAGACCGACCGACGGCGTACTAAGATAAGGTAGTATAGTACTTGTAGGACGAGTTTAGTATTATCGTAAGTCAGCCGACGGTGTCGCGTATGCTAAAGGACCGCAAATAGAACGAGGGAAGAAGGCGTATCGCGTCGCCGCCGAGCAGAACAGCGAGTTACGTAATAACTTTAGAATGTAGCAAATAGGTAATGTCTACGGACAAGGTCGTAAACCGGTCGATAAGAGTGCCTCGAATACAGCGCACTAGGTAGCGGAAGTATAGATACGGTCCTGTTAACCGTCTAATCTACGAGGAAGGCAGTACTATACGCTCGAAGAGGTAGAGTGTATTACCTGCGATCGGCGTTAATAGATACCTTTAAGGCACCCTCATTTACTAAGGCTCTATTACCGGAGCGATGTTCGAGTACTAGCTCGAGAAGACAGTGCTCCCGCAAATGGAGCCTAGTATAATATTAGTAATAGACAACGCCTCGATTCACCGCACCGACGGCGTAAAAGAGGCGTATCGAAGGGTAGGTATATACCTGAAGATGCTGCCGCCGTACTTACCGGATTTCAATCCTATTGAATTGTCGTTCTTATCGTTGAAGGCGTAGATTAAGAGGAATATTAACGAGGCTAACTGCTTTAAAGACTTCGGACAGTTTATAAGACACGTAGTAAACGAGCTGAATACATAATAGTACGTAGAGGCGTAGTTTTAGAAGGCAGGTTAGAGATATTAACAACACTTAGTCTCTAATAGACTCGCTTATACTAACGACTGTCTCTAGCTTAGTAATACGGCTTCTTAACTCGTCTATCTCCTGTCTCATTTCTTCTATAATAGTACGCGTAGTCTTAGCCGCCTGCTCCTTTATTATTGCCTCTATATGCTATAGATCTAGAAATACTAGCTATAGTAACGAGCTTCTTAACTCGATAGCTAACGGTAATACAGTAGTCGTATCTCTTATAAGGTCCTCTTCTTCTTAACTGTCGGCAATCTACGAAGAATTAGTTAAACCTACCGTAATACCTAATCGATATACCTCCGATGCGCTACCGGTAGCTATTGCGACTAAAGAGCCTAGAATTTAGCGGGGTTTGAGCCGTTTCCATCGCTAGTATTACCTCGAGTTTATTTGAGGTAGTGCCGTTAGTAGGTCGCTATATTCGTGTCGCAATCGAGTAGCGGTCCGGAGAGTACCGCTTAGAAAGCTAGAACCTATACCGACCGATAGGGTGCTAGCCTAATACTACTACAACATATCTATATTATCTCTTTAGTAGGAAACAACACTATCAATGCCGCTAAACAACCCCCCGTTGTCCGTTTTAAAAAATATGCACTTATAGTAAAGATACAGGCTCGGCAATATATTAGAAAATTCGCGATATTAGGCCCCTCCTCTGTGCCGAGCCTACCGAAATTTCGGCTTCCACTCGGCTCTGCTCGGCGGTTAAGCCTAGCGGGTCTACACTTAAGAAGCTGATTTTGACTACTCTAACTCGATACTAGCGCAATACCACAACGCATTGTTTTTTATTACTACAAGTATAGAGAGCCGAGACAATATCTATCTAATGTACCTCTAATTTATACTATATAGAAATACGTAGTATTAGTGGAATAAGAAGCGATATTAGTTAAACTGAATATTAGCTGTTAAGCCGCCGACCTATAACCGGAAATCCACCTTCGACCTCGCTTCTATACTAAAACAGCGCTTCTATAGCTAACTAAAGAACAGACTATCTAACGACTCGTTGATCCGACTAAGCCGCTGCTTACGTACCTCCTTGTCTATATATCGACTAACTGTAGCAACAAATCGAGCGTATTAGCCTTCTTTGAGTCTAGTAGCAACCTAACGGCTCAATTTCACCTTCCTTAGCTATTTAAGTAAGAAGTCGCCTTCCTTAGCGAATACGCGCTTAATAATAGCTATATTACTATGCCGCTTAGTCTAGCTGCTACTCAATTCTTTATATAACTAGCTAAAGAAGCCTATTAGTTCTATATCCGCTATATACGACTAATAGGAAGCAATTGAGCCTAGAATTAGACTTAATAGCAGTCCAGCTAGACTAGAAGCTACTGTTAGACTAGAAGCCGCTAGCGGACTAGACAAACGACGCTTCTAAGGAGCCTGCTATTAGCTATAGTAATTGTAGATTACTACAGGGGTTAAAGAGCTAATAGCAGCTGTTCTAGTCGTCCGTAGAGTCTTAAATAGGTTAACGAGCTGTCGACCCCTGTTCTTCTATATCTTTAAGGCTAAGGCGGAGCCTAGATTACTAATAGTTAATCGACCGTCTTGCAATCCTTTAATCTATCGACTAGCAATCTTAGGATAGACCTTATAGTAGTCTTCCGCTCTGTCCGGACCGCTAAACTAGCAAAGTCTACCCTTATTAAAACAGTATCTGTTCTTATAAGGCTACCGCTTTGCTAACTCGTGACGCAGGTTAGTTAACGAGCTAGTTAACGCTATATTGTTGTCGTCCGCTTTAGTCTCCGAGGCATTAGATTAACCTTTAACTTCGGCTTAGCTCGTATGTAGAGCGTCTAACTATTGCTAAGTCGCTGTTGCACGAGGTCCAGTTGTCCGGTTATTGCGGCGACTAGCTCTACTACGAGCTAATAGCGCCTCTGCGGCTATAGCGGTTGTCTTCCGTCGCTCTATAGTTAACCTAAAGTCTAGTCGCAAGCCCTTCTTGCCTTAAGAGCGCTAAGAGGCTAGCATGTCGTACGCACGTTGGAAATTGCCCTTCTATATACTAGTGCTACGGAAATAGTGCTTAGTCTTAATCTTGTCGGCCGAAGCGACTATCTCTAAGCTAGCTAACTTATAGTCGTCGTCGTTAGAGCCGATAGTAAGCTAGTTAGCGTACTAATTATAAACCTCTTCGTAGTAGGAGTCGCTATTGCTAGTAGTCTCGAATAGAAAGTACTTAGTCGATAGTAGCAACCGTAGATTAGCTAGATTGACTATTGTCTACTATATAACGTACTTAAAGACCTCTCGCTCTTACTCTATAGCTTTATCTTCTTCTTTAGCCGATATATAGTCCTCGTCGTCTATACTAGTTTGCTAGGTTTGCTAGGTTTGCTCGGTTTGCTCGGTTTGCTAAGTGTCTGCTAGCAACTCGTCGTTAGTTATAGGCCCTTTACTTAGCTTAACGGTTGGCTCTCGGCAACGCCTCTTATTAACGTTGTTAGTAGCTCGGTTAGTCGATTGCTATACGAGAAGGGCCTTCTTCTTCGAGGAAGGCTTCTATAGTCGCTTAGAGGCTCTTAGCATAGTGACGGCTCGTTAACGGCTTCCGAATATGCCTTGTTCTTAACCTTGAGCTTTACTAAGAGAACCTAAGTGGATAGAGGTAAGAAAGGCTTTCGTTCCGTCCCTAGATTGCTACCAAATTTGTATAGTGTAGGTAGGTCTACGGCAAAATAGTGGCTACGCGGAAATATCCATGGTCTCCGCGTATGGCGCGACTTATTGAATAGCACAATACTGTGTTCCGCAACCCATTATTGTCTGGCGTCCAGAGAGAAGGACTTCTATTTCTTTGACATACATTAATAGACAGCTTCCCCAGCAAGTACCCGGTTTGTATACAACATGACAGCACCAGCACCGAATCCATTCCAAGAAACCCCCTCAAGTTTCTGGGACAAATATATCAAAGGCCGGCCTCTCCTCTCCCCGAGTCCCTCCTCCAACGTGTCTGGCACTATCATGCCTCTCACGGCGGAGCCTTCAATCTCCTCCACGAACCAGGTGCAGGCGCAGGCATCCATTCCAGCCGCCTAGCCGCAAAGTTCCCAAAAGGTCATCGTCTCAGACATCAGCGCCTCAAACATCAACACAGCGAAATCCCATCTCCCAGACCTCTCAAACATCACATTCCGAGCCGCTCCCATAGAAGACGATTCCGATATCGAAAAATTCCAGCTTCGATATGGTCCTCGCGATCAACTGTATCCATTGGACGGACATTGATAAAACGTTGGAATCGGTACAACAACACCAACTTCGACCCGGCGGGACGTTCGCAACCTTACTTTTCTCTCACGCGATCCTCGAAGATTCGAAAGCGCAGGAGATTTGGCGGAAGCTGAAGTGGAGGGCGCTTTCGTCGGTTTGGAGGAAAGAAGGTAAAGGCGGACATCCGCTTTGGTTGAAGAAGATTGTCAGTGGGGGCAATGCGTTACCTTTTCCTGAGACGATTTTCGAGCCCGGGGTGAAGAGGGTTAGGATTAATTTTGAGGATAGCTTCTTTCCGATTTATGTGCCGGAGGACGAGAAGGAGTTTGAGGGGTTGCAGGATAGGGTGGGAGGGAGGGATGAGATTGTTTGGGAGAAGGATGAGGTGGATTGGGCGATTAAAGCTGACTTGAGCAGGTTGAAGGAGATGGTGAGTAAAGCAGAGGGTGGGAACCCTCATCCTGCACATTCCCAAGTGCCAATCGTCGAGTCACCTAATAGGCTGCAAGCTGCTTTCTCTCGCTTAGGACAACTGCTCATGCTGATACCCTTTACTTTTAGATTGATGCCACTGTACCGCTCGAGGGAGACGAAATTATGGATAGACTTTGGAAGGAATTTGAGGATGTCGTTGGGGATCGTGAAATGGAGGTCACGTTGCCCGTGAGCTGTATTCTGGCGACGAAGCGCCGAGAACCAGGTGACATAATGAATGGTGTACAATGATACAGTATCGGTACAGACAGCCTACAGCTTCGCCTGTGGCACTTCCTTCATCATCGCGTCGGCGACGTTTCTTCTCTGAATCTTGCCTGTAGCAGTCTTTGGCATGATCTTGGTGAAATACACTCGCTTTGGGACCTTGAATTTCGCAGTACGCGTACTCATCCACTTCTTTATTTCGTCCTCAGTGATACGTGCGGCATCCTTGGGCACGATGGCGACGCCAACATCCTGTCCGTACAGTTCGTCCGGTATGGCAAAGCTCACGGCTTCTGACACAGCAGGGTGCTGAGCTAGGGTGTTGTCCAATTCAATGGGCGAAATCTTCTCGCCGCCTTTATTGATCAACTCCTTAATGCGACCCGTAATGATAATGTATCCGTCCTCGTCCTTCTTGCCTTGGTCTCCGGTCCTGAAGAAGCCGTTCGCAGTAAAGCTTTCTCGATTTGCTTTCTCGTTGTTTATGTATCCCTTTGTCACGTTGCTGCCCTTGATGCATATCTCGGCCTCTTTGCCGTGTGCAACCTCATTGCCGTCTTGATCTAGAATCTTGACCTCCACGCCTTGACCAAGACCAACGGAGCCTGGTTTTCTCTTTGCAGGTGGATACGGGTTGGAAGTCATTTGGTGCGCCGCCTCGGTCATAGCATATGCCTCCAACACCGGTGCCTTGAAAGCTGCCTCTAAGTCATATAATACTTTTGGGCTCAGAGGCGAGCTGCAGGATCGGATAAAGCGGATCTTTGGCATTGGAGCAGGCCAGAGGTGGCTATTCTTCAGCAGAATTTGATGCATAGTCGGTACAGCAGTATACCAGTTGGCTTTGTGCTCTACAAAGTGATTCCAGAACTTGGATGCGCTGAACGCGCCTGGGACGATCACACTGCCGCCAGTGGACAAGGGAGCGAGAAAGCCGGCAAGCAGACCATGGACGTGGAAGAGAGGCATGATCAGCATCGTGCGATCTTCTGCTGTCAGCTTGTATGTGTTCTTGATGTTGTGAATCGTCCTTGCCAGATTGCGATGCGAAAGCGGCACAGCCTTCGGACGACCTGTTGTCCCAGAAGTGTGAAGAACCAGCGCTGTGTCCTCTGGCCGTGCTCTTTCGAAAGGTACATTGCCACGCCCCTCCAACTTGCCCTTCTCCTTGACATCGAGGACTACTTCATTCGTCCTTGGATGCAGATAGACTTCTGCTACAGCTGCATTGTATTTTCTTGCAGCTTTCTCGGCTGGTCCATCCGCTTGACCTTGAGGGACCAATACCAGCGAGGATGACAGATCATCAATATAGAACTCGAACTCGCGTTGCTTGTAGGCCGGGTTCAAAGGCGCGGCAATGCCTCGCTGCCATGATGCCGCCAAGAACGAGACGATGAATGGGTAGCTGTTCGGCAGAGCTATTGAGACTGCGGCGCCGGGTGAGATGCCGAGGGCAGCGAGCTTGTGCTGGAAGGCGAGTACATCGGAGTATAGTCGTTGGTATGTTATGGTGAGCGCTGGATTCCCTGGGACGATGACTGCCGTCGCCGACGAGATGGGGTCGAATGCGTTGGACAGTGTCGTTGCCATGGCGGCCTGTAGAGACTGTAGTCCCAAAAGAGAGATGATGGGTGGAGAGGTGTTTCCGCGCGATCGGCCAAACACGGAGCCACCGAGGTGTCGCCTTCCGATGGCCGTGCTGGCCTCCTCTTCTTGTGAACACCAGCAAGCGCCTCGGTATGCGCGCGAAACGCCATGATCAGCTGAAAGATGACCAAGGCTTCCGTAAAGAATGCATGTTCTGGTGAGGGCGAAAGAGCTGGAGTCGTTGGTCAGAGTACGTACCAGATAGGCCGCAGGGATGTTCGGTTGCAGTTCCGCGAAAGCTCCATCATGCCTGCAAGCTCGAAGTTCCCACTTGATGTCACTTGATGAGATGTCGCCTTTGTCACGACTAGGATGAGCCTACAGTACATTGGGAAGAGAGAGATTTCGCCATCCAAGAGTCTGCTTCTAAGTTGATCCTATTCCAAACTACGACCTCCAGATGTCACGTGGAAATTGCAAGATTTATGGACGCTAAATTCCTCGCTCTTCTTCTTACGCTTAAGACTGGTATCTCATCTGACTTGACTGCATAGGATGGGGCGATGGCATCGATTGTGTGCTTCGCCGGAGTTCGTGAAGGTACGTCTGTAGAGCACGGCTGTGTGTTGCGGAAGAACGATGATCCGGGAAGGGTACAGAACTCGGGCTCCGTAGGTCTGTAGTTCACGCCAACAATATTTGATGTGCATCGCTCACATCTCCGGCCTGTCTTCTCCCGGATCTCCGTAGTCTCTTGGACAAGTGCCGTTACCTCCCGGCCCCCGGGTGTGGCAGCCGCAGACGCCCGCGGGACAAAGCTAGTCGGACTCCGTAAACAGTCAACTCCGCATTTGCGATCTAACGACATCGTGCTTCCTGTTGCCTTCGACGCTCGCATCACCATGGCTTCGACTATGCCAGCCATGGCCGACGAATCTTCTGCACATTCAGCGGCGCAGCTGCAGTCCGTCACACCATCGTATCGACGCAATGGCAAGCTTTTCAGTTGCGAGCCGGTATGTGCACCAAGGATACGGCGTCATACTTCATTCACTGACTTTTCCATGTAGTGTCGGCGTGGAAAGCTTCGGTGTATGTGCACTTGTTCTTGTCCTTGACACACCTCTCATCCAGCTGACACGGCCTCTTGACAATAGGCGACCATAGCAGCCCAGTCTGTGGAAGATGTGCACGCAGAGGCAAAGAAGGTAGAGGTGACTGAATGTTGATCGCGACCTAGGCTGATTGGGTTCCAGATCAATGTATATATCATCCTGCACCATTGACCAAACCACGGACAGATCCTCCGGGAATTGGCCCACACCGCACAGCAGCGTCAACACCAAGACTGTCAACTATCGGACCCTATCCAACGCCTTTCCCTTCCATCGAGAACAAGCGGAACGGCCTTGTAAGCCCTCCATCAAGCAATAGTACTCAGCAGGGGAAAGACGCTGCTTTTCGCGTTAGCACTTCGCAGCCGGCATCGCTTGGTCAAGGATCAGTCTTACCGTCTCCGACTGCTCCAATGCCTCCAACGCCGGGTGAGGAATCGAAACACTCTTCCGCCCCTTCTGCTTCCTACGCGAGTCCGGAAAGTGCCATGTCTTTTATCAGAGATGGCAGGACGGGCTTCCTCGGACCGACTAGCTATTCGGCTGTGTATACTGAAAATTCTAGCATATTGCAAACACCGGACGTGGAAGACCCTCCGGATCTGCCCTCACTGCCTGCGGACAAGATCCAACAGGGTGCCGAGGTGCTATCTATGTTTAGAGATCTTCCAGTATATCGTAATTTCACCCAGAGATGGTTCGAGCTTTGCGACGGCATTGTCGTCCTTCAGCCCGTTTTTCGAATATGGATCGACGAGCTCTGGAATGAATTCGGGAAAGTCCTTGCTGAAGGCAATTCAGAACAGATGCGATCTCTTTCGGAGCTGGTCTGGCGCAATACACGACGGCCAATGCGCGTCCATGGGTCAATGACTGCACGAGAGTGGGCGAAATCGGCATCTGGTCGCAACCTTCGATGGGAGGTTGTTGGAGTCGTCCTGTCACTCGTTGGCCTCATTGCCGTCAATTTGAGCAATTGGGACACAATCTTTGATTCAATCCGAGAGCGGTACGTGGATCGTGCAACGTTTGCCGAACGCATGCGAAAAGCTTCCGAATATTGTCTCTGTTTTTGCTACGAGTCAGAAGTGTTGAATGACATATACGTATGCTTCATGTTCGAGGACCTGGTGCTGGTTGAATGCCTGAAAGGCGATGCACACTATGCTGCTTGGCAGCGGACCGGCGAAGTATGCGACGCGATCGTTGCAATGGGATTGCATCAAGGGAATCGACCAGGCCCAGAGTGCCCGTTCTTCCTCGCAGAATTGCGAAAGAAGATATTCATCTCTGCATACGGCCATGACAAAGTTGTGGCTACGTTCCTTGGGCGCCCTCCAAGATTATCGCACCGATATTGCAAGATGGAGTATCCTCTAGACCTCTCCGATGACCAGCTCTTCTCTGAGGGCGCAGAACTGGAAGCCGCTTTGTCAACATTGGACCAGGATGGATGGAATACGCAAGGGTGTCTCAATCGCACTACTTGGTTGCGAGTCTGGTTCCAGCATTGCCGTATACGAGAAGACATTCTGGAGATTGCGCTTGGATCTGATGATGAAGACATCGAAAGACGAGCACAGGAAGTGCGTCAGAAAATGGATCATCTGCACAGGTCTGCACCTGCTCATATTCAAATCACACCAGAACAGATATTATCCGACACCAGCTCGCCGCTCGGAGTAGGACTACCACTACGTCAGAAGAAGGAAGCTATGCGTCAGGTCAATGCAATGTTTGTGCTTTGTATACATACAGGCATAATACACACCGAGTTCCTGCTCCAGAGAGCACTTACGATTCGAACTCGAACCGACACCAAAAAGCTCATCCCGATTGCACGACGCATGCTCAAACTCGTCCTCCTGGCACAGTCGCGGCGAGACTTCTTTCGAGACTTTCAAGGCGACATAGTATATCTTCTTGCGCTTCACGGTCTGCCAGCTGCAGGCGTCCTAGCTGTCGAGCTCTTGATAGAGAGTCAGACGCGACAGTACGCGCCAGAAGTACTACCACGCTCAGAGACGATACAAGACCTAAGCGTTTTCATATCCGCCCTGGGATCGGTGGGCCCTGGAGAAGGCAATCACTCGATCTGCAACCAAGGAAGAAAGGCTCTCGCGAGAGTTCTTGACCAGATATTGTCACCGAATCCACCTCCGCCAGTCTCAACGACAGGCGAGCAGCCGATCTTTGATGATTCCAGCGTCTTTTTCCCCATCGGCAATGATGCAGATTTTCTCAGTTGGCTTGAGCACGTGGAATGGGACAAAAACAACTGGATCGATCAGCCTCCGGCTTCGATGCCTGGCGCGACCGAGCCGCCGGTGTAGCGAATCTTCATCATGGTGCAGAATGCAAGTGAATTCCACGCTCTTGCTCTGGACAATATCATTCTTATGCGAAGACAAAGGTGCACAATCGCATTGTTTGACATTTCTGTACACTTGTGATACCCAAACAATCCGCGAAGACAAAGGTGCACAATCGCATTGCTTGACATTTCTGTACACTTATGATACCCAAACAATCCATTTTGAGCTGCTCGGTCTGAGCAGTATTTATAGCATGATCAGACTCCACCTTTGACTTCTACTTCAGACTCCATACTCTGCCAACATCTTGTTCAATCTTCCTGGCGAAGAAAATTGCACGAACATCAAATCATCGGCGCAGAATCTCAAGTCAGTCAATTTCCAGCCGCAGCTTTTAGTCATGCAAGTCAGTAAAGGAATGGTGGTCGGCGGGACCTTTCTGGCTATCGTTCTGTTCTTTCTCTTCCAAGCAGCAATTGGGTGCTGCTCGGCAAGGCAAGAACGTCGTCGGACGAAGAAAGAGGATAGAAGGTGGCCAGGCTACTTTCACCGCAAGCCCAAGGATCAGCCCGGCGATGAAGAAGCCCAAGTCGAGGGCGCTCAGCCAGTGCCACTGCAGAACATGCCTTCTATCGAGACGGGAATCATGGCGAGACCTTCCAATCGTTCGTATAACCAGCACGCTAAAGCTCTCCAAGAGATGGAAGCCTGGTGGGCTCGCTCGGAGTGAGTAGGCCTCTGCAGACCAGACCGTAGAAGGCGAAGGCGGTGGCAAGTCTGAGATAAGATCAACGGCGAAGCAGTTCACTTGTGAGTCCGAGTGAGTAGCTTGAATACGAGAACTAACCAGAGCATCAAACGGAGATTCGTCCCATTATCACAATCCTCTCCCTTATTTCCAAATCACGTGCTCGCCGCATTTTTATTACCAGTATGTATTGTGCGAAGCGGGACATCAATGGTCCATCCCAAATCCGTTGACGGACGCGCATACTCACTACTGATCAGTGTGCATGAAAGTAGTGATAAGCTCGGTGAAGTGGCATCCTTGAGCATGCCTACCGATACCCGGTCAATCGGCTTTTGCACAGGAGGTCTGGCCCAACCCTAAACGAAAGCACTAGGCCTCTTTCGACCACAAGCAAGGATTATTGTATCGCTAGCGGGAGGCTAACTCCGTATGTCCGCTTTCTGCTCCGAAAACACCATCCTGTCATCGTATCGTTACCTGTGAATGGTCCATTGCTATCGCGTGCGAACCAATTTACTGGGCTATGCCCGTTCACAATACCTTCGTTGAGTCCATCAGGTCAGCGTATAAGTGCAAAGTGTCTCCCTTTCTTTGCTAAGCTTCAAACATCACCAACCATCACCACTAGGCACTGCCAAAGAAAGCATACCTGCAACATTTGACCCATACCAATCAGGAAATATCCACCAGCTCACAATCATGAGCTTCTCCAAACTCTCAAACCGACGCAAGTCTACGCAGAGCCCTCCCAGCGCTACCTCTTCCTCTTCCTCACTACACGAGACATTGATGACAACAACACTCCCTCTCGCTCCTCGCGAGGATAACTACAACATGTCTGAGGAGACCCGTCGACAGATCCTCCTCGCCAAGTGCAAACGGTCCAACATCGAGCCTTGGAAGAGTGCGAAGCCAATCTACTCTACCCGCGAGTGAGGACCTTCCGCGCACATGTCCAGGCATGAAGTGGAGATGGAGAAGTTTCAAGCAAGACCTAGGATACTCGCAAATTCATAGGCATCAACAAGAGCAAGAGCAAGATCCGAAGCAGATCTACTACAGTCAGGTAGTCCGATTGTCAAGCAGTAGCAGCAAAATATCACAACGACCACTACAGCAACAGGCTCAGTAGAGTCGATTGGAGGAATCACATCAATTCGGAAGTTCCGCAGAAATGCGCTCCTTACAGGGTTGAAATGTTCGAAGACCTGAGAATGGCGCATAGGCTGAGATTCGAAAGGCCTCAAGCATGAATATAGAGAAGGTCCTGTAATGGGGAGAGAGGACTTGGGCCATGACAGGAGCTTATGTACTAGAAGTAATAGCTACCACTGCAAAGCGAAATCATTTTGGCGTATCGCACCGCTTTTCCATCATTAGGTCTCGTCTTGCTCTGTGAATGATACTTACCATGGCCACATATGCATGTAATCCCCATCGTTCATGCCATCTCGCTTCAGATTTCTAAATTCCCATACTGTAGGTAGACATTCTGCAGCTTTGATGTGGCCAGCAGTGGATCTGCGCCACACGGACTTGAGTCCGTTGCGGATGTCCGGCTTCCGTTGTCAAGGGATCACTTTCCTACATATCTCCGCGCTTCTGGAACGTACATACATGTACCGTTCATCTGCATCGCACTGTATGTGGCAAGTTCGACCAGATCTGTGTGCTATGGCAATAGACCCCCCTTTGGCAGAGCCGACAGACGTGTAGCTATTGTCTGTGAAGCCTGCAGGACGCGCAAGTCCCGAGTACGTAAGCTCATGGATCAAACTCAACAAAAAACTTGAGTGAAACCACCTCAGGCATCCAAGAGCGCTCAGCTCAGAGTCGAGCAGGCAGTATCCAATACATCCATGTAACTCTGCAGACTGATGACTCGGTGGATGGACTGCTGTAACTGATGGCCTGCAGCAGCGTATGGAAGGCATTGATGAACGACTCCTGGAAAGATTTGAGTCTCGCGTATTATCTTGCAATGCGCTGCAAGACTCAAGCTTGAACGACAGTCCCGCAGTGCGATTGGGATTGTCACATCTCGCGAACGATGCGCATTCCTTGGCCCATCGTCGAATATCACATTCCTGCGTGCGGTGTCGCGATGCCTTGCTAAAGCCACGGGTCGAGCTCCAGAGTCCATTGGACCGACTGCCCAGTCAACAGCAATAACAGTAGCACGAGGTTGGAGTTGAGCCTGGTCAGCATCGCGAGTATTCTTGGTCTCGAGCACGACATCATCCGCTGGTTTGGATCCTCTCAAGTCAAGATCATCTCTTACGCAGAGATTACCTCCCTGGACTAAACACCAATGGACGACACAGGTCTGTCCCTCAGAAGATACCGTGCTTCTTACTCTTCAGTAGCTCACCCTGCGAATCTTGATTCATCGATCTGTGATCGACAGCCTCTTGGAAGCATCCCGCTCAAATCCGTCGAATCTTGCACCTCTCAACATGGTGATGCTTGCACCAGCCTTGCACTACTTGGGCCATCTCTGTGCTTCACAAGCTCGTTGCAAGTGAGCCGGGAGGAACTCATTTTCTCGGCGCATGGTGGGATTCTTTGTATTACACTTTCAACTCGGCATTGGTGAGTCACGATGTGGTGAATTGCCATGATTTGTGCTGATTTTTATGAATCTCTCAGTGATGACGGTGGAGAAACAGCATGCCAAGATGAACCAGTTCCGAAACAGGAAAGGATCATATGCAAGCTTCGGCTTCTCTTTCCGAAAGATGAAGCCGCAGAGCCGAACAAGTACTCTGTAGTCTGACAACGCAACCCAGCATATCAATGCTGCGATCTCCGCAATGGTGTCTCTGTCGCATTTCGTGCATTATCTTGACATCCACTTCACACTTCGTTTGAGCCGAGGATATGAACGTCTTGGCGAGGATAGTGTCTCGGCCTCAAGCTAAGCCATACCGCACGAAGGAGCTTGACGAGACTCAGCAGATTAGCCTGGACAAGAATGGCCTCCTCCAGTGGTCGCAGAAGGATATCGAGAACCCGAAAGAATGGTCCAAAGTTCGAAGATGGTATATCACTTTGGCTTGCATTGTGCTTGTCATGAATGCATCCATGTCGTCCTCTGCTCCATCTGCTTGTCTAGAGGGCATTACTGAGGAGTTCGGCGTCTCCCCTACAGTAGGAAGGCTCACGGTCACACTATTCGTGCTGGTGAGGTAGTCCCAAGAAATCACTCACCGCTGTTCAACACCGACTGACTTCAGGTACGTAGGGCTTCTGCTCTGGACCCTGTCTCTGGGCACCACTGTCTGAGTATTATGGCAGAAGACCGATCTTTGTCGGGACATTCGTCTGCTTCTTCGCTTTCAATTTCCTATGTGCCTTTGCGCCAAACATCGGTGGACTCCTCGTTGCTCGCTTCCTATGCGGAACACTTGTCAGCGGTGCCCTTTCAAACACACCTGGAATATTCGCGGACCTCTGGGGTCCAATAGAGCGCGGTATCAGCATGACACTCTTCGTCGGTGCCTTGCAAATGGGTCCAGCTGTTGGACCTATCACGGCTGGCTTCTATCAGCTCACACTTGACTGGCGATGGATCTTCTACCAGTTGATTTGGGTATCGACTTTTTCGCTCTGCCTTTTGCCCACGATCCCAGAGACGCTACCTTCTCGAGCACTTGCCAAGAAAGCTCGCCGCATTCGCAAAGCGCAGATGCCAGGTTTGGAGAAGGTCAAAGCACCCATCGAAGTCGAGAATCGATCGCTGCTTTCCATATTCAAGACTTCATTGCTCCGACCCTGGGTCATCTTAATCGACCCCATCGCAATGTTATTGGCCATCTATCTCACAGTGGTATACACCTTACTGTACATGCTCTTCACCATCTTCCCAATCGCGTTCATCCAGATTCGTGGTTGGAATGCTGGAGTTGGTGAGTTGCCACTTGTGAGTGTCATCATTGGATCTTTTCTCGGCTGCACCTACGTATTCTGGGACTCTGCTCGACAGAGGAAGAAGATTGCAGCGGCTCACAACAATTGTCCTGAAGATGCACTGCCAGTCGCCATGACCGGTGCAGTGTTATTCCCCGTCGGCCTGTTCTGGTTCGCGTGGACGGCACCATATACCTCAATGCACTGGATTGTTCCCGTACTCGGCGCTGTCGTCTTCTCCGTCTCACTTACGATCCTCTTCGTTGGCTTCTCGAGCTACCTAAGCGAGACGTATCTGCAGTACGCTGCATCTGCACAAGCTGGGAATCAAATTGTGAGATCTCTGGTCGCGGCGACAGCTCCACTTTGGACTCAGCAGATGTTCACAGCTCTGGGGGTCGGCGGAGGTGGATCTCTCATCGGCGGCATGGGGGTCTTGCTAATGCCCATGCCCTTTGCGTTTTATAGATTCGGAGCGAAGATAAGGGCAAAGTCAAGATTCGCTCCTACCGAGCCGGCGCCGGTACAGGGTAGTAAGGCTGTTGTCGACGCCCCAATCCATCCTCCTTCTAATGTGGAAGAGGCGAGAACAGTTTGCCGGGAGGAAAAGGAAGAAGCTCTGTCTGACAGCGACAGCACGGCTAATGACGCGCGATTTAATAGCAGCTGTGACATAGAGAAAGCTGAAGCACCACCAAAGTAGGCTAGCCATTGAACTCGTTTGTTCATCTCAACCAAATTGTCACTTTGTTCGTCACCGTCTCAAGATCATGGAGATACAGTTTCGAATCCATGTGAACTGCAAGGAGCATGAAAGCGAAGACAGGCCTACATTGCTGTTCACGGGTATCAAAGATGTTGATAAATATGTACAGACTGTTTCGTCAGCAGTGCTATCTCCTGCGTCTGGTAGAGTAATTCAAGTTTGATCTTGCAGTCGTACCAAGCTTGTGTACGCCGAGCCGCTTCTCCCATACGCTCGACCGTCCCTCGACAACCGCGATCAGCTCCTCTGCAACCTTTTGTGCAAACATATCATTCCCAGACCCTTTACTCTTCCTCTTCACCGCTGCATCCAATATCCACATGAAAGCTGTACGCCTTCTTTGCCGAACACCCAAAGGTACAGGAATTTGCAAAGCGACACCACCACCTGCTGCGCCTCTCTGAGATCGAATTCTGAGCAGGGGTGCTACGCTGTCTACGGCAAGCGTGAGATATGCTGTAGGATTGAGTGGCAGATGTGATGCAGGCGGTGCGCCAGGCAGTAAAGGTCGCGTCGGGTTATATGTCGGCGCAGGAGTAGTTCGCAGGATTTTGAGGACGGCGGCCATGTTACGTTGGGCTACTGACTTTTTGCCGTGTCTCATGAGCAGATTTGTCACTTGAGCGACGACTGGATCGTACCTGTAGTCCTTTTGCAACTCTCGAGGCAGTGGCATTTCTGGAAGTGGAAATTTGTGTCCTGGATTCTCCTCGGGAACATTCGCAGAGAACTGCGCTTGCTGTTTCGCGGAAGGATACATGGATGGATCGAGCTGTGATGGCGACTGCGCGCCTGTGACCTCTAATTGCCGTCTCGCAGCAGTTGTGTATTGTCTGGTTTGGGTGGAGGTGGATGGTATGGTAGTCGAGCCCTGCTTGGTTTCCTTCTTCAACACCTCAGGTGCATTCTGGCGGGTTTCCTTCTCTTCTCTGAGGATCTAATCTTGATTAGTATTTCGTGTAGCAGGAGAGTAAATCCCATATTCACTCACATCTTGCACAGGCGTGCCCTGTCCTTCCACATCCGGGCCTTTGCCGCCCATAATCTTTGCCATCTTCGCAGCCTCCTCGCTTACATGCTCTGCCTGCTGCATGTTTGGTCCGACCTCACCCTGCTCGGCCTCGGGAAGGTTCTTGTTGTCGGCGAAAGTGCGATGTGCTGGTCGCTTGACACCAATGACCGCATTGCTGGGTCTCAGAACCACCGGTCGCGGTCTGAATGCGACATTGCGCAGTATTGGAAGTGGATTGATTGCGGAAGGCATTGTTGCTATGATCGATAGCAGCGTGATGGATGTCTACAAAGACTCCAATGCTTCTTTGCTTCTTTGGCTTGAGGTCGTGCATGGACAGTATGCCAAGCCAAGCGCGGCAGAATCTCGGCTTTCGGTCATGGCTCGCGCTTTGCACGACATCGGCCGTCCGTCTCGCCCCTTTCTCAGCACCAGTATGCTCTCGCAAACCACCGAGTCTCTTGACGCGAAAAACAATTAAAATGAACAGAAGAGCAACGGAGTAGCAAATACAGGCTACGATGATATAGGTGGCACGTCTCCAGATGAGAACGAGATCTGCACTCCCTAACTACCATGCCAGAAATCATCCTGATCGGTGTCTTTGGTCCACTCATGGCTCTCCTCGCAGTATATCCTCACAAACTTCTGATCTGGATCCAAAGCGCTCAATACCCAGCCCTTAACGCCGATCAAGACTCCACTGCACTGCACACCCTGAGCTTCGAACCATCCTTTCCAATGTTCCAAGTCCTTCTTCAGCGGTACACTCCATACTATAGGATCCCAATGCTGCTGCTTCTTGGCTTGTTCCGGGTTGAGGCGAAGCTCGACAAGCAGTGGCGAGCCCGAAGATAGCTTCTTCTGCAAAATGATAGCAAAAAGCTTGTCGTGGCGGTCAATGTGGTCGAATTGCGCGATATGATCGAAGCCGAGAGTGTCACAGTAAAAGGTCTTGGTTGTCTCAATGTCTATCACGGGGAGCTTGAGATGATGAATGCCGGTAATCGATGTCGGGTTGGCCATGCTGCTGAGAATGAATTATGAGAAGCCAACTCTACTTACGTTCGAGGGGAGTTTCGAAGCTGTTGTTATAGGCCTCGTCGTTCGCCTCGTCCTCTTCAGGAAGGATCTTGTGGTTCAATCCAAGCTGCTTTTCGGCGCCGATACTGCTGGACATCATCCTACAATGTTCCCGCTGCGGACGAAGGACGAAACTTGGGCCGAACGCCAAGAAATTCATGCAGAAGCGCCCCTTCCCAATCTGGACCTTGCGATCGAGAAGAATAGAGTTTCTTTGCGAAAGCCAAACCTGGCAGAACTACACTCCAAGCCATTGTTACATCCAAGCCAAGTAGTCTGATGTGGATGTCAGAGGAGGAGCTGCTTCCAGAGACACGGAGGAATGAGCCACGCGCTCGATCTACGTCATCGACGTCACTTTGTAGACTTGCCAACTTACATGTACTGATTGCGACGATCACAATGAGATGAGAACATAAAACCGACATTCAACGAACTTAGAAAACCCGCAAGTAGAAATACTCTGTCAGAGACCTCAGAAACCAACAGCACTTCGATCACACTGTTCGTATGCACTTCCTTTGGACAGACCTTCTCAAGCCCTAACGATCAGACTAGACAAAGAAGTACAATCAGCATGCAATCCAACAACAACAACGGTGCAGAGGGCGTCGCCAAAGGCATCACCTCGACCCTGGGTAATCTCGCTGGCGGTGTCTCCAAGACAGTTGGTGGCGTCGTTGGTGCTACAGGAGAGGGACTCGGCAACACTATCAACAGTACGTATGATCATGAGCACACTTGTTAACCCGCATCTGACAATTTCATAGACACCACTGGCACCAAAGCAGGCGGCGACGCTATCAAGGCCGTGACTCAAGGCATCAATGACGGTGCCAACTCGGTTGGAAAGGGAGCTGAGAACGCCGGGCAATGGAAGAAATAGATGGAACGCAAATATGATACCCATGAATTGAATGAACTTGATTGAATTAGTTTAAGATCACGTCTGCCGTACGGCCAAGTTTATATCGCAACTTCGGTCATGAGACCCAGAAGTCATCGATCTCAATCGGCAACGATATCTCCTGTGCCAAGGATGCGGTTCGTATGAAATGTCGACGGCCTCTCAGCATATAGCTGCCGATATTGAAGGCCAGGGCGATGCGTTGCGGGCTCACTTCAGTCAACGAAGTGAAGCGCACGACCTTACTGTTACGAGCACCAGCTCACTTTCGTAAACCTTCTGCATCTTCAAACCTGCGGCTTCTACATCGACCGATGGACGTAGGTACAAACACTATTCAGAATCCGAACAACGTGGAAGCAGGTAAGATCCTGCATACATGTCCTACCCACTCTACTATCCAACGGGCCATCCCCAACCCGAGAAGATGCAAATTCCTCAGTATGAAGGCTTGCGCGAAATGATCAAATGTCAGTTGAGCATACTCTTAGTAACGCGTAGCACGACATCTGCTAATAATCAATGCGTAGCAAATGCCGCAATGGTCTTTCCCATCATCGGCAAAGACTATACTACGCCAGAGGACTTCGACATCGTCATAAGCTCCAACGTCACGAAGAAGAATGGTTTCTTCGGCTACACATCCCGCTCGTACAACGCGTCCCTTGTGTATGGCCCGCATCGTGAGCACAATATCGCGGCAGTCGGTCGAGCGGCGAAAACTTACGAGGACGCTTTGGATGAACTCCTTGATACGCTGTGCACGGCACTAGGGCATAACGAGGTAAATCGTGTGCAATGGAGGGGCGAGTTCGTTAGAGCTACACATCATGATGCCGGTGATGTGGATACTGAGCTGGCGAAACATGGTCGGAGATAGGTTGGATTTGTCACGTCGGGGGCTGGTACCACGAGCACAAGTGAAGGAGGAAGACTGGTGGAAGGAGAGGTTGAAGAGGAGAGGCAACTACAGGTAGCTTGGCTGAATAGCACTACTAAGCTGGCTCCTTATTGCTTATTGCTCAGCGACGTCGGAGAGGCATCACTATCCGTCAAGACTGAGTAGTTTGTCATCTGAAAATGGAGCGGCTCTACTCCAGTATTGCCTCTCCTCTCTCCGGCCGAAGCTTCCAACATCACTCTTGACTGGCTTCAGGCATTCTTCAGACTCGTGGCGTAGCACTTAAGACGTGATGCCGAGTGAGGCGAAGAAACTTATTACCCAACCATCTGAACCATTTGCTGAGATAGCAGCGTTCCATGTCCAAGGCGAGCTCCCATGGCAGCATCATGCACACGGCGGTCTCCTCCGGCGTCCTTTCTTCAACTTCAGATTCGGGACCTGGCTCAGGTACCCTTGCCTTCACATTTCTCCCCCTCCTCATGCCAGTGATACTGGCAGAGATCGAGGCTTTTCAAGTTCTCCTTCGTCATCTTGTTTCCACCGTCTTTCCAAACGAGCTTCATGATCTCGATCAGACACTCACGAGAAAACAACTCGGAGCCTGTTGATGAGTGCATCACGTTCACGATCACTGCCACGCAAAAGCGCCGCAGCCCGGCGTCGGTGGTCGTGTTGTCAAATATCTTGTTCAGCTGGGGCAACGGCAACTTGTGAATCTTGACAACAACGTCTCTCATGGCATCGATGATTGCATTCATGGGTAGCGGCACCTGGCGACGATCGGCGAGGAGGCACAGGTCGCACAAAGTCTCGAATTGCGCCGCGCGATCTGCATCCTCAGGGGACACGTGAATGTGACGGGTGTACAGCCAGTGCACGAAAAGACCGAAAGTCTGTTCATCCTCTTGTTCTAGTCTGATCTTGCCGCTGAGCGCCTCTGCGAAGTTGTTGCCGCGTAGGGCGCCTTCGAAATAGCCAGAATAGAACTCGAGCACGCCCTTGTGAAGATCGAATGTTGTTTCGTTCGCGCCAGAACTGACTGTGTCTTGGATGGTCTGATGGTGCTAGAGATGGTGGCTGCAGGCGCGCTAGGGGAGGCTCCACGGGGCTGAGAGCACATCTCCTGAAAATGAGCCTGTGGATCGTGCTGCTCAGGCTTGGCAGGCAACGTCAGCATGCTGGGAGGAAGAAGACCCCCGATCCTGACGCATGCTCCTGCAGCGGAAGCAGAAGGCTTGGCGGCAAATTTGTTGGAGGCGTGTTCGGCTTTCTGTCACAGTGTCACAGTGTCACCACTGTCACCCAACCGCACGAGCGCTGGCAAAACCGTTTATGCTGTGGAGCAAAGCCGGTACAACGCTACGAACTCGGGAGCGAGAACGGTAAGTTCCTGCACTACAATGGGTTAAACGTCCCGAGTCCTGAGCCCGGGAGGCTTCGTCAGCGGTAAGGACTTCACTGCTTGCTCTCTTGGCCTACTTCTTGTTTCTCCTCACCTGTCCAGACTTGCCTCTGCGCCTTGATGTGCATGCGGCCTCGTTGCTGCGCCGCCGCATCTGCACATACAAGCCATTGGCATGCGTCGGCGCGCTGATTCCAGAGTCTTGCCTATCTTCACCGACGACGATGGCGAAAGAAGAGCTTCTTCTAGCATGGCGTCCGTGTCAGATGACGCTCCATCCAACACGGGTGTCAGGGCAATGATCAGCTTCCAGGGCAGGCTGTTCTTCCTGTTCATTCTGACCTGGATTGTCTTGATCCTTTATATCTTATGGGTGAGTCAAGAGCATCCTGTGACCTTCAAGTATCCTCAACTGACCTTTTCTCTGGTTTAGCCACAAGGCAGCGCAGAACTGCCGATCGAGTCCATCAGCACTGAACATGATGCAACGCCTGCCATCACGACTCCTCCACCACGCCTGCACTTACTGGTGCCTGCCTCAAAGCCCGATGTCAACTTATGCAAGGTCATAGTAAGCGCCGGCATATCAGGCTATCCCGACCCGGTCATCATCAATTGGAATCAGACATATCATGAAGCGCACTTTGTTGCAGGCGGCTCTCACCTCGCCAAGATCAGAGGCGTACATGAATACCTCCAACGCTTCCAAGCAATGCGAGACGATGACCTTGTGCTGGTTATTGATGGCTTTGACATCTGGCTTCAGCTTCGTCCACAGACACTGATTGATCGATATTTCGACATCAATCGGCGAGCAGATAAACGTATTGCCCACGAGCTCAAAGCGGCCACCGAAAAGTATGCCATCCGACAAGACATCGTATTTGGTACTCAAAAGCGATGCTGGCCATGGTCTCAAAAGGATCCTCCATGCTATGCAGCGCCATTTTCGAGTCTTCCAGACGACATCTATGGACCAGGAACCGATACCGACGTCGGCTTTGAACCGAATCCATGGATCAAGTACAGACCTCGATACCTGAATAGTGGGTATATGATGGGGAGTGCGAAGGCGATGCGCAGGATGTTCGAACGGGCAATGGTTCTGCTTCCAGATGAAAAGAACTTTGGCAGCGATCAACATATCTTCAGCCACATTTTTGGCGATCAAGAGGTATGGCGAGAAGTCGTGCGCCGAGAGGAAAGGTCTAATGCTACGATCATGCACGAGGCCTCGCCAGACTATCAGCCATTACATCCTTGGAACGAGAACCATATCAATCAAGTGGGCAAGAAATCTGCAGACGCGCCAGGAGGTACCCTTGAGTTCAGCATAGGCCTGGATTTTGAGATGCTTCTTGGGATCAACACAGTCTTCTCCGAGGATGATACTGAATGGCTACACTGGAGAAACGAGACTGCTTTACGAGAGGCTGAAGCACGAGTCGGACTTCCTGAAGAGCATCAGCACATGCAGAAGCTCAACGACGACATAACGTCAACAGCCCCTCCTTTCCAACTCTCCGACTTGGAGAACACATTACCGAAAGCGACAGCCTGGCCAGACGTATCTCTCTTCACGAACATCTGGACAGGCATCGTCCCTCCAATAATCCACCACAATGCTCACCGGGACCACCGCAAGGCATTGCGTCAGGAATGGTGGGATCGGATCTGGTTCACGAATTATACACGTACAATGTACGATATGCATGTACGAGCGTCGAGTGCACCTGTGGCACATAGTGGATACGACAAGGACAGTTTGACGGATTACTGGCCTGCGGAGAAGTTGAAGGGAGGCGGAGCAAATGGACCAAAAATCGACAGCGCCGATGAAACAGAACGATGGGTGAGATTTGACCATGTATGCCATGAATTCCACGAAGAAGTGTTTCGTGACGGACAAGGACCATGGATGCAACCCACCTAATAGATATCTGACCAGAAAGAATTTCCCATGTTCAAACTCATACATCTCCTTCTTTCCAAAGCAGAACAGTCTTTCCAAAGCCTCCACAACCATCATAATCATCAAGACTCAGCCAAAGGATCCGCATCCTCATCCTCCTCCGCCAAACTCGCACTCGTCCTCACCTGTTTAAACGGACTTCCCTGCCGAAACGGATTCTCACACCCACTCATAGAAAACCCCGTCGAACTCCGACTCAACCCCGTCCCAACCCTGGACCTATTCGAAAACAGCGTATCATCCAACTCCTTCAAATGCCGATGTTCCGACTGACTATGATGATGTTCCATACTCACCATCCCCAACATTTCCAACTCCGGATGCGCCACATCACCGACACCCGCCGCAATACTCGTCCTCCGATTATGACCTTGATACGAGCGAGGAGATGTGAGAAGTGTGGCGTAATAGTGCGCGACGTTGGCGATGTTTTTGGACATGTGTTTTAAAACTGTGACTTTGCTGGGTTTCCGACCTGTTCCGTGTTTTCCGAGGATTGCGTCGGTTTTATTGCGGATGGCGGCCCAGTCTTGGGTTGTGACACCGTCTGCGGGGCCGGCGGAAAGGCTTCGTTCGGTGCGGGTGTGCGACGGGAAACGGGCCCAGGAGACGAGGTCGGTTCCGATGCGTTCTTTGTAGGGAAAGTTGTAGCCTCCTCTGTGATGGCCTGCTGGCCGGCTTCGCCAAGGAATCTCGTCCTATTGATCTTCGCGGGCGAAAGAGAGCTCGTTGAATTGTGGTGCCATGCTTTCGCGGCGTTTAGTGTCGGAGCGGAAAAGGTCTCTGGATTGTTGGTGTCGCTGGAGGGCTTTGACCATGAGGAGAGAGCCATCGTCGTCGTTGACAGTCACGGAACGCCGAGAGCGGCTGTAGTTTGAGGTGTTGTATATTGAAGAGGGCAGGATGCTGGAGCGGCGCGCATCGCTGGGCATGATACTTGAACGCCTCGCCTCTTCTGGTCGCTGTATATCAGGCGACAAGATAGAGATGTTGCTCGGGCGCCGCATGTCAGGCGTAGCAACAGCAAGTGTTCTGCAGCATCGTCAGCTAATTGGCCGAGAGTGAAAGTTGAGAATTGTCACTTCTTCCCCCGATCGCTCTCACTATCACCAGCGCCATCTGAGGAGGCCGATGGGCGACTTGACGGCGTCGGCGTGGGTGTCGAGGCCATCTCGGAGCGCTCGGAATCCAACATGGGAGTTACGAAAAGAAAAGACTAGGAGATAGGGCTTGCTGTGTTGAAGATGTTCATCAATAGTACATCGGTAGCTGCTACCATGACCTATCAAAAGCGCCTGCCCCATGCATTTACCACTCACCCGAGTCGCGGATTCCCCCCATCGACGCGACTCTTGACGATCGTTGAGGTCGTCGCAAGGCAAGGTAGCTTTTCATTCCATCATCACACCATCCCGCCCATCCTGTTGTTGAACTCCATCGCTGACCAGACGTTGAGTAAAATTGGGTATCATTGTTGAAAAATGCAGCTGTTGAGTGCCGCAACTGTTCAAAGCACTGCAAATATGTCCCTTTGCGCCGTACTCCAAACCTCTATAGTAGTAGTCACGTTAAAGTGCCTACTTCTGCTGCTCACGGAAGTACTTGGCAGCGTTGACCATGTTGACCAGAGCGGCCTTGGTCTCCTTCCACTGGCGAGTCTTGAGACCGCAGTCTGGGTTGATCCAGAGCTGGTCTGGCTTGAGGTACTGAAGCATCTCCTGGATGCGGTCCTTGATCTCCTGCTCGCTCGGAACACGTGGAGAGTGGATGTCGTAGACACCCGGTCCGATGTGACGTGGGTAGGCCTCATCGATGAAGACCTTCAGAAGCTTGGCATCAGACTTGCTGTTCTCGATGGAAAGAACATCAGCATCGAGAGCAGCAATGGCGTGGAAGAAGTCCTGGAACTCAGAGTAGCAGAAGTGAGAGTGGATCTGGGTAGAGTCCTCAACACCGGCGGTGGAAAGCTTGAAGCTGTCGACAGCCCACTGGAGGTACTTCTCACGCTCAGAGCCAGCACGGAGTGGAAGACCCTCACGGAGAGCTGGCTCATCGACCTGGATGACGTAGACGCCAGCCTTCTCAAGGTCAACGACCTCGTCACGAAGAGCAAGAGCAAGCTGAGCAGCCTGGACAGACTGGTGGACGTCGTCACGTGGAAACGACCATCGCAGGCAAGTGATTGGACCAGTCAGCATACCCTTCATTGGCTTCTTGCTGATGCTGGCGGCGTACTTGCTCTCCTTAACGGTCATCGGTGCTGGGCGGGAGACGTCGCCAACAAGGATTGGTGGTCGGACACAGCGAGATCCGTATGACTGGACCCAGGCGTGGGTGGTGAAGACATAGCCGTCAAGGCGCTCACCGAAGTATTGCACCATGTCGTTGCGCTCTGGCTCACCGTGGACGAGGACATCGAGGCCGAGCTCTTCCTGAATGCGGACAACCTCGTCGATCTCCTTTTCAATAAACTTCTCGTACTCCTCTGGAGTGATCTCGCCCTTGGTGAACTTGTTGCGCTGGATACGGATCTCCTTGGTCTGGGGGAAGGAACCGATGGTGGTAGTTGGGAAGATTGGCAAGTTGAGGTGCTTCTTCTGAGCCTCGTAGCGAGCGGTGAAGCCAGACTTGCGCTCGTAGTCCTCCTTCTTGACGGCAGCCATGCGCTCCTTGACGGCGGGGTTGTTGGTGCGCTTGGATGTGGCACGGCTCTGCATGCTCACGGCGTTGGCCTCAAGCTGGGAGCGGACAGCATCTGGGCCGTCAGTGACAGCCTTGGCCAGAATGGCAACCTCGATAGCCTTTTCAGAGGCGAACGAGAACCAGTCACGGACCTCGTCATCGAGGTTCTTCTCGCTGGCGAGGGTGTGTGGGGTGTGGAGAAGCGAGCTGGAGGTGGCGACGATAACACGCTCCTTGCCAAGCTTCTGGATAGCGGTCTCGAGGAGCTCAATGGCGTTCTTGAAGTTGGTCTTCCAAATGTTACGGCCGTCAACGACACCAGCAGAAAGGACCTGCTTGGGGCCGAGGTGCTCAGCGACCTTGGCGAGCTGCTCTGGGTGACGGACGAGGTCAACATGGAAAGCGTATGTACCAGTAAGAGCCGCGTCAATCACGTCGAAGTTGTGGATGACATCGCCGAAGTAGGTGGCGAGGACGAGCTGCGAGCCCTTGCCGCCCTGGAGAGCAGTGAGCTTCTCGTAGGCTGGCTTGAATGCATCGCGGGTCTTCTTTGGGAGGTCGAAGACGAGGACTGGCTCGTCGATCTGGACGGTCTCAGCACCGGCAGCCTTGAGCTGGGTGAGCAGCTCCTCGTAGACTGGGAGGAGCTTGTCAAGAAGGGTGATGGGGTCGACGGACGAGCCACGGTCAGCCTTTCCGAGGTGGAGGAAAGAGACTGGACCAAGGATGACGGGACGAGTGATGATGCCGGCCTCCTTGGCCTCGTTGAACTCAGCAACTGGCTTGGCATTGTCCACAAGTTTGAAAGTCTGGCCATCTTGCAGGGTTGGCTTGACGTAGTGGTAGTTGGAGTCGAACCACTTCACCATCTCCAGGGATGGCACGTCCACGTTCTCCTTCTGGTGTCCACGACCCATGGCGAAGTACTCGTCGATGGCGTGGAGCTTGTGCTTGCTGTATCGCTCCGGCACAGCGGAGAACATCTGAATGTGGTCGAGCACATGGTCGTAGTGTGAGAAGTCGTTGCTTGGGATGATGTCGACGCCAGCGTCTTTCTGAATCTTCCAGTGCTCGAGTCTCAGTCTCTTGGCCTCGGCGAGGAGCTCGTCGCGGGAGAGCTTGTCGGCCCAGTAGGCCTCGTTGGCCTTCTTGAGGTCACGGAGCTTTCCCATGCGAGGGAAGCCCAAAACGGAGGATTGCACCATGGTGATGGTGTTGTGCAGCGGCTTGAGGGGATTGAGTGGTGTTGCTGCTGCTACGAGACTTCGAATGTGGTTCGAAGGAGTAATTGAGGGTGATAGTGAGGAAAGAGAGGAGGTGATGTGTGTGGGAGAGAGGGATGGTGGCAGCAGAAAGAAAAGAGCTGACTTTTCCCATACCCCGCTGTCGGCTGGACAATTGTATGCGGCGATTGGCCAATCGGGAGCCTGCATTCCTCCGCAAAGCTCAGCATTTGGCCCTTGCTGCAGACAAAGTGGCAGAGCAGAGCAGAGCACTTCAACATTTCTGAGGGATCGGTGTGCTCGACTGCACCAACGTGCATCATCATGGCTGCCTCCTGAAATGTCACCGCTTCTTTTCACCCAGCACCTCCAGAAACGTGAAGGCCGTACTGTATAATTCTTTGAGGTCGGGCAGCATCAATCATTCCACGAAGCCGATGCTGATTGCGTGCTCCATCACGAACCACGCAACATCAAGCCTGAGAGGCCTGAAATCCTGCAATGCCGATACAATGACGACTGAGACCGCCATGGCCTCGAGAATGCAACCTTTCAGCAAGCTTGTGCCTGAGCTGGAATTGGCACTTAAGTCTTTCCAAAGTTCAGGCTCAAAATTTCGTCTTCTAAAGACAGTGCATCCGAGCCATGAATTTCCGCAAGAGCCAAAGACAGCACATCGAGATGAGTCTCCCAGAACGCTTTTCATCCTGGATTCCTCCTTCAATCCACCTTCTATAGCACATCGGACGCTGGCTCAATCTGCATTGCATCGATCATCAGCAAGCCAGTATGCCAAACCTCATCGGCTACTTCTCCTGTTCGCAGTCATGAACGCAGACAAGGCACCAAGTCCAGCCTCGTTCGAACAACGACTATCCATGATGACCGTCTTTGCCCGAGATCTCCTGGACAGTTCATCGCGAGAAAGCGACATCGATCCTGTTCCTGTTGATATCGGAGTCACCACCGCACCATACTATACCGACAAATCTCGTGCAATAGAGACCGAGGGCTTGGAATGGTATCCGGACAACCCCCATCATATCCACCTCGTAGGCTTTGATACATTGACTCGCTTCTTCGCGGCAAAGTACTACAAGGATAAATTCGATCCTCCTTTCTCCGCTTTGAATCCTTACTTTGATGCCGGACATCGATTGCGTGTTACACTGAGACCTGATGATGAGTATGGAAGTGTCGAGGAGCAGAGAGCCTTTGCTGCAAAGCTTGGAAATGGTGACATGGAGAAAGATGGAGGCAAAAAAGAGTGGGCGCAGCAAGTCGAGCTTGTGCCGCCAAATCCGAAGATTGGCGTGAGTAGTACGAAGATTCGCAAAGCAGCGAAGGCTGCCGATTGGGAGACTGTAAAGAAGCTCTGCACGCCTGGAGTCGCGTCGTGGGTGCAGAAGCAGAGATTTTATGAGGAAGACGCCACTGGGGCAAAGATGGCCTGAGCACGAAATCAATCCACACGGAAATCATGGATTCTGAGAAGTGACTCCTCCGTACAAGTGCTGGAGATGGGCTTGATATCTCTAAAAAGCCAGTCCAGGCCCAGCATTCACTTCACGCCCAGTGGCCACGTCGATTACCTGAAGCGCAATCGTATCATACCGGAACGCCCAATCCATAACTGCGTCCAGTACAACCCAAGCAACCTCCCCGATCCTAATATCTCTTACACGAGCGATGTAAATGAAGAGGAGCATGCCGAGTGAGAGGTGGATCTTGTTGCCCAAAAGCTCACTTTCGTGTTCTTCCGGACAGCCTTGCAAGGTCATGTTGTTCTGTGCTCTACTCCACCTCGCCGGGTTCCGAGAGAGAAATCGGCATCCGTTGTGGTTTGCTTTATTCTGGCACGACTGGAGGTGTCTCAGGCGGCCATCCGTCATTGGATTCATGTTTTAGATGCCCTTTGGGATCTGAGTGTCGAGCAGCGCGGTGAAAGTAGTCTGATGTGCAGTGGTGGCATGGCTGTTACGAAGCACTTTCCATAGGTAATCTGTATTAATGAACATCATCCTTCAAACCTTTGTGAATTTCGGAATGCTGATGTTGGATGAGAACCCGTGTAAGGCGGGCCTCATCTAGTGCCCTGCCGCCCGCATTGCATCCAGCAGAGCAGACGCCGACAAAGGCCCAGCGATGTCCATAGTGTTATCGGCTTGAGCATTACCAATCGAGAGAAGGTGAAGGAAAGACGCCGCCTCGCGTGAGACGCTTTGACGCGCTTTCGCGACGGCCCCAGCTCCGTGCCGAACCCTGCCTGACGTCGTTTGTCGTTCGCTGCCTCAGTTGCGTCTCGACTTTCGACATGCAGCTGGTCCATCTGGATGTCTTTTGATTGTCTAGTCTGGCCGCCGCCATTCTTTCTACCACTCACTGCTTCGTCGAAAAAAAAGCGACGGCGCAGGCGTAAACGCAAGATGGACGATTCCACACAAGCTGATGCCGACAAGGTTCGCAACTTTCATCTATCGCCGTTGACATGCGGCATACCGTTGACATGAATGACACTGACATGGATGTGACAGATCCGTGCTAAGCGTCTGGCCAAGCTGGGCGCACCATCGAGCGCAAGACCGCCGCGAGCTCAGAACGGCGGAAACTCATCATCGACACCCCCACCAACCACAGACGGTGCCACCGACAACGCTTCAGCGCCCGCGACCCGCGAGAATCCATTCGACCAACTGGCCGCGCAGAAGGAGCCCGAAAAGAAGGAGCCTGTCAAGATCACTGTGACTCCGCAAACGACAGTACAGCCAAGCAAACCAGAGCGGACTCAGTCGCGGCCTAGAGAGAGAGCTGCTGAGAGCTTTGAGGCATGGCAGGACCGCATTCTTCGCCACATCTTCAGAGTCACTCTCAAGCCAGAAGAGGTTAAGGACTCACACGGCAACAAGCTGATATTCCTGGCGAGCACCAAAGATGACTTGGAGCAATCAAATCAGCCCGCCCTGCTGAATGTGGATATGGGCGATGGCATCCTGACAGAAGCGGCTGGACATGCGCCAAACGGCAAGATTTTTGAGTACTTTTTGCAGACCTTCAAGCGAGCAAGTCGAGCTGTGCGCGGCTCGAGAGACCCGATCGACCCCAAGGATGCCATCTTGAAGGAAGCAAAGCGGCTCAGCATGAGCTATTGCATATTCGCGGTCACTATGCCTGAGATGTTTGGCGGTGATGATGACCTCTATGCGAACCAGAGCTCCTCGTCCGATGCTCTGGTAGACCATATGCTGGTCCCAGATATCGAGGGTGATCATGGAATTTGCACAGAATTCTTGACCGAGGCTGCTGCGCGCTTTGAGGAGGACGAGGGTATCAAGGAGGTAAGCAATCCAGCACCATGAACAAGAGCAGACATGCAGCGCGTTTCGTACGCCGCAGTGTCTCCTCAAAGCCAATATCGAAGCGACTCACTAACCACCTTTCCAGGCAATAGTCGGTGCTGTTGAGGAACTCAGCGCTCGATTATCGAAATCAAATATGCTTGAGGATTACCAAGCATACATTACGGCTATGCGAAGCCTCATTCGCTTCCCGAAAATTGTCGACGCTGTCACACAGTCCGCGAAATGGGCCCCTTCAGACGTCGAAGCGCAGAATATCGAGACCACAACGCTCCTAGGCCCATTCTTCCGCTTATCGCCGATGCAGCAAGAGGTAGCGAGCAATTATTTCTCTGCGCCTAAAACTAGAGATCGGAATTTCATTGCCGCTGCACAGAACGCCATCCGATTGACGCTCCGGACACACCAAGAGATTCTCTTTGAGATTGCCAACGGTATCGTGCGAACTGGTGCTGCGTCACGAGAACGCATGCTCAACTGGTTTGCGCTATGCGTAAACAAGAACCACAAGAAGCGAGCTATGAGGTCTGATCCTAGAATTGTCTCCTCCGATGGTTTCATGGTCAATGTCACTGATACCCTCACCCGCCTGTGCGAACCCTTCATCGACGCACAATTTGGCAAGATCGAGAAGATTGATGTCGACTACCTGCGGCGAAATCCCAGAGTTGATATTTCCGATGAGACGAAAATCAATGCCGACCAACAAACGGCCGACAACTTTTACTCGCAAAAGGCTGATGGCACGAGCAACTTCATCTCAGAGGCATTCTTCTTGGCAGTCGCCGCACATCATTATGGTACGGAGGCTGCACAGACCAACATCGAGAACATTCGTCGGAACATCAAGTATCACGAGAAAGAACTCGTTGCTGCAGAAGCCGAACGCGCCAAATACCTCAATCAGCCGGCCTACTTGGCAAGGTATGACGAGGCTCTTAACAAGATGAAGAAGCGGATCGACGACATGTGGAGCTTCATTCATGCCACCCAAGGAGTCCTTCTCGACGATGTCAGTCAAGCGCGCTCCATGGGTCTGATGCGCTATGTCATTGTGTGGGTGCTTCGCCTTGCGTCTCGCCAGAACCTGCCCAAGGAGAAGCTTCAATTGCCGCTCCCGTCCGAGCAGCCCGATGTCTTCAAGTGTCTCCCAGAATATTTCCTGGAAGACATCGTCGGCAACTTCAAATTCATTACAGCGAACATCCCTCACATCATTACCCCCCAGCAGTGCGAAGAGATTGTGCAGGTCTGCATCGCCTTCTTGCGCAGTCCGGAATGGGTCAAGAATCCAGGCGTAAAGTCTGGACTTGTCACTATCTTGTTCTACGGCGTGTCACCGTATTACAACCACCAACGCGGCGTCTTGGGCGATGTGTTGATTGGCTCAGACTTCGCGCACAAGAACTTGCTGCATGCCTTGATGAGTGCATACATCGAAGCTGAGCGCTCGGGCACGCACAACCAATTCTACGACAAGTTCAACATCCGCTTCGAGATCTTCCAGGTCATCAAAAAGATCTGGGTTAACACACTGTATCGCGAGAATCTTGCGAAGGAAGCTAAAGTTAATACCGACTTTTTCGTTCAATTCGTTAACATGATGGTCAACGATGTCACCTTTGTGCTCGATGAGGCACTGTCGAGTTTCGTCAAGATCAATCATTTGCAGAAGGAGGTCAATGACCCGGCCGTGATGCAAGGACTCAATGAAGAGCAGCGAAGAGAGAAGTTGGAGCTCCTCGAGGACACCAAAGGCAAGGCAAAGAGCTACATGCAGCTTACCAACGAGACTATGGAGGCGCTCATTCTCTTCACCGAGACGCTCGCCGATGCTTTCACCATGAAGGAAATTGTCACGCGATTGGCAGACATGCTGGACTACAACCTCGATTCCATGGTTGGACCGAAGAGCACCGACCTGAAGGTTGACAACAAGGAAGAGTACAAATTCCGGCCCGCCCAACTGCTAGCAGATATCCTCACCGTCTTCCAAAATCTATCACACAAGGAGACCTTTGTGCAAGCAATCGCTCGCGATGGACGCTCCTACAAGCCAGCGAATTTCACCGAAGCTGCTCGCATCATGCGCAAGACAGCCATGAAGTCGCCAGATGAGCTTCGTGTATGGGAGGAGCTTGGCAAGAAGGTCGCGGAGGCTAAGGCTTTGGAAGAGCAAGAAGAGGCCGATCTTGGAGAGATTCCTGACGAGTTTATGGATCCTCTCGTCTTTGACATCATGTCTGATCCGGTCATTCTGCCCAGCTCGAAGAACGTCATCGATCGGAGCACGATAAGAAGTCACTTGCTCAGTGATCCAACCGATCCATTCAACCGGGTACCTCTAAAGATCGAGGAGGTAATACCGGACATGGAGCTGAAGGCCAAGATTGAAGCTTTCAAAGCAGAGAAGAAGGCTGAACGAGCCGCAGCCAGGGCCGCTGCAGCCGATGCTATGGACACGACTGAGGGATGAACGGCACCGGTAGCATCTATTCGTTTATGCATAGCGGGAGGTTCAGGCACATTCTCTAGAAGCGCTTCATAGCATTGGTGAAGCCGCAAGCACGATGACCTGGGATGGTTCCTTGAAGACAACCGCACGCTGGATTCTTTCCATCTCATAGATCAGGTCAAGCCGAATCAAACTGAGTGCACAAGCCTCCAATGATTCGCAAAAATGTCTTGCTCAGGTGAGGTGGTGAGAAGCACGTTCAACTTTCGTGAATCATCCGCATGCGATTCTTGGCCAACTTTCTAGCACGGCCCGTGCTTCGCCGCTATTTCCGTAGAATACTACTCTCTCTCTCTCTCTCTTTCTCCCTAAATCTTTGCTAAATAAAAACAATGTCACAGCCAACACCGAAGCAGGCCAACACACCAAGCGCCAAAGACGAGCAGAAGTGCCGATTGCTCACCCTCCCAGGCGAGCTCCGCAACAGAATCTACCGTCTCGTCCTCCTCACCGCCAACAACGAGAAAATTTCCATATCATCGACCGGATTCTCCCGTCCAGCTCTCACTCGAGTCAACAAACAAGTCCGCCGCGAAACTCTCAAGATTTTTTACTATGAGAACCGCTTCAAGACCACCATCCATGCTTTCCACCCAGCTTTGCTCAGAAAGTTCATCGCGTGCATCTGCACTGCAGATTCGGAACTCGAACAGCGACTTCTCAGTTACACACTGTCTGTTCCGCTCGACTCGCCATCCTGGAGCAATTTGATGGCTTGGGCGAAGGAGTACCATGGGAAGATTCTTCTTGCTAGGCCACATCCGCCGAAGAAGTTGAGGGAGTTTGAGATGAGTGATATGACTAGGCATGTGGTTGGGGCTATGTTTGAGACTGTAAGGGTTTTGAGGAAGCAGCCTTGGAAGCAGGTTGAGGAGGTTCTGGGTGTAAGTCGGCCGACTTTGATTACGCTCGATAGGAGGTGGGAGGAGGATTGAGTTTCTGTGGACTGAAGAATCACTACATATTAGTGGTGGCAGAGCTGCTCGGTTAGAAGGACAGGTTTCCAAATTGAAGTTCGGCGGCTCAAAAGACGTTATCTAGAAATTCGCTTGTGCTTGCTTGCGTCTAGACATCCTTCCACGGCCGCTCGTCATTATCGACCGGAGCAAAATGATAGATCAAGTTCCTGAGCTCAGCTGGAAGAGCGAAAAGGTAGCACGAGCGAGAGTTTGGTTTTAGCGACATTTCGTATGCCTGGACGCTTCACGAGTTGTGACCTCCTTTGCTGTCGGTTCCAGGTCTTAAGTGATTAATCCAACGCAAGTTTGAGGTTAAGCAGGTGTGCGAGATCATGGTAGCTTTGAGGACATGACTCCCAGCCTTGGGTTAACCCTTCTCGCTCGTAGCAACCCTTTGACGATGCGTGAAAGCCTTGCAAGTCTCATAGCGGGAAATAGAAGAGAGCAATTTCGGCTCCTGTACATTTGCTGCATTTCTTTCTTGGTCTCGTGGCGAAAGGTCTAAAGTGTATATCATTTTAGCGTGCTCTTGATGGCTCTATTCGCTCGGATGTGATCTTTACAATCCTCCTCAACCCACTCTGTCGTTCAGCTTGCTCGTTGCACAGAAAGAGCTTGACGATCGGCCAGGCATGTATCCAGCCTTGCTCTTCGTACTCATCGACTCGCACCTCCGCTTTTCTCAGCTGCGCAATCAAGTCTTTCGCTTCAGGCTGGAAGACCTCCTCCGAACCGTACATGAAATACCAGCCTTGGCTTGGTGATGCTCTCTTCCACCAGCTCAAATCGTTACAGCGTCCAGGGGAGACCAAAGCATTGTCAGGAGAACCATTCTTGCCAATGTACTGTGATCCATATAGACGAAGGCTCTCGGCATTCAGGTAGTCCGATCTTGTATTCTGGTTCTTCGACGAGATAATCGTTGCCCAGGGTGATATTATCACAGCAAGACCTGGCATCTTGTTCTTGAGAGACGAGTAGCCTGACACGGCAAGCATGAGGCTAAGAACCAGCGTGGCACCTGCCGAATCACCACCTACACATATCCGTGACGGGTCGTCCGCGATGGAGAGAACGTACTTGTATCCGGCAAGCGCTTCTTGGACCTGTGTTGGATATGTGGCCTCTGGGACCAAGGTGTATTCCAACGCGAATAGAGCCGGGTTATCATAGCCTGCTTGCTTCAGCAGTGTGAGCCAGACGAGGAGAAACTCGAGGTAGAAGTATGATGAGCCCATGGAGAAGCCACCTCCATGGCAGTAGTAGAGCACAATGTCTGGTCTGCGCGAAGCATCCATGACCGCGTAGATTCCTTTGAGGCCATCCTTGTTGACGTCACGCCAGTAGATCGGCTTGCTGAAGATGCCGTGACGAAGCATTCGGAAGCGCATGAATGGCAAGGCCACCCATTTCGAAAAGAAGACCTTGCCTATGGAAGCAGGTATGTCTGCAAAAGCATATCTGACACATCGTATGACGACGTCCTGAAAGAGCGTTGCCTTTCGGACAAATGGAGGCTGTTGTTTCTTCCTCAGCACATAACGCTCACGCACAAGCTGATATGGCATGCGAAAAGCTATCCAGAGTCAGTATCTGGCCAATGTTGAACTAGGCAGTCCGAGTCACCTAGAAAGGGAAGAGCCTTGATGCCGCATGTCAGCGTCTGAAAGAAGCCGACCTGTATGAGCAGCTGGGGTGCAAGGAAAAGCAGGAAAACGAGGCAATCAAGCCATGCGATCTGGTCTAGGATCATTGTAGCGAGTTCATGGAGAGTCACTGAGTGACAGAGATGAAGTGCGAAGCGTGAGACATTGGCGGCGACCGAGGATGCAAATCCGTCCGTGCGGTTGACGTAGTTCTATATCGGAGCTTTCACAAGCCACTGCAACCATGTGAATGTAATCCAGTGTTTCTAAGACAGGCTGCCCGGGTTCAGACACTACAACTCATGGGCAATCCACTTTGCTGCGTTCTTGCCCAAAGTGATGGTTCTATTGCCAACCGTGCAAGACATCGAAGGTGAGGGTCGCACAAAAATTGCTTACTCAGCCACGAAGCTCGCAAAGTTCGGCGGCAGTGCTTGCCGGAGTTTACCCGTCGACTTCATGCTTTTCTGCTCACGCGCGACTTCCACACGCCGCCCAAACGACATCTTCGCGGCGGTCCGCGCCTCGCACCTCGCACCTCGCACCTCGACATTCCCAAACCTCCAACATATCACTGGCGCCGCGCGACCCGATATCCATACCACCGCGATCACCGCCGATGAAGCAAACGGAGCAGGCGACACTCCTTCCGTAAGCTGCGGCACTCATCCGCAGCTGCGCGACCATCTGGACACCCAACAAGCCATCCCCAGCCGCGCCAATATCAACGCCTACAAGCAATATGGCAGATGCGAAGAGCTCGCTGAATCCAGCGTCGGTGGAATTCGCTAGGTGCGCGCCATTGCACGAGACTAGGATGATATGCAACTGACATCGGGCACAGATCGCTCGAATTGGAGTCCATACCCGAGAAGCTTCGCTGCGCGACATGCAACAGACTCGCCATTCATGCCGTGAAGCTGGGCTGCTGCGATAGCACAATCTGCGGCGAGTGTATGTCTGACTGCTTCCATGCTCGTGTAATGATATCTGACCTGTTTTAGGCAACGACTCACTTAGTGGGGATTCATGCCCTGTGTGTGAGCACTCTCCATTCTCCCCAGACCTGGTATCGCCCGCAAAAAGCTTGCAGACCACCGTCAAGGTCTTTATCAAGAACGAGGCGAAGAAGCGCGGCATTGATCTCACCGGAAATACGCCAAAACCACTCGCTCCAGCAGCAGCAGCTTTCGAGACTCCGCCTGTAGCAGCCGCCACACTCACACTGGCAGAGTCAGGGCCCGCGCCGACTCCAGCTGTGGAGGGCGACGCGGGAGCTGCTATTGCGCCAGAAGAAGCCGCGCCGTCGGCAGAGCTAGGGGCGGCGTCAGAACAAGAGGTAAGAAGCCATCTTGTAACTATCAATCTCGCATGTGCTGACTTACATCAGCTCGACACTGCACCTGCGGATGGAGATCTGGAGTCGGCCGGAGAGAAGGCTCAAGATGCGGAGCAGGATGAAGATGACGACGATGACGATGATGTTGTGATCACAACCGAGAGACCTGAAAATGAAGAACAGCAGTACTCAGCAGAGGGAGACCAGCAGTACAATAACCAGGCTAATGGCGAGAGCGAGAATACCAATCAGAACATGCAAATGGATCAGCAGCAACAACAGGATTTCAATAACTTCAACCAAGGCATGAACGGATTCGGCAACAACAACTTTGGCAATATGAACATGAATGGCTTCAACCCGATGATGGGAATGCCAAACTTCATGGCCATGCCAAACATGATGGGTAGGTACAATTTTCTCGCCAACAAGATACGCAAGCTGAGCAAAGCGGCAGGCATGAACATGGACCCCTCAATGATGTTCGGAGGCAACTTCGGCGGCATGGGCGATATGAGTGCTATGATGGGCATGGGGATGGGCAACATGGGTGGCGGCATGTCTGGTATGGGCGACTTCAATGGCATGAATGGGCCCGGTTTCTTTCCCAATCAAGGAAACTATATGCAATCACAGAATTTCGGAAACGGTCCTCGGTCGAATGATTTCTACAATAATCGTGGCTACGGTCGTGGTTACGGCCGTGGCTTCGGTAGAGGAGCTCGAGGTAACCAATACGGCCGTGGCCGTGGTAGCTGGCAATACCAGCAACAACAGCAGTATGGCAACCATAGTCAGTTTGCGCAACACCAGTCCGGTGGCCCGCAGCAGGCCGGTGCAAGTGCCAACGATGTGCCCTCCCAACGTCGCGGCTCTCCCAGCTACGACGCGTTGCCAGGTCCAGATGGCGTTCCTGCGGAAACAGGTGCCAAGTCACATGATGCCGAGACCAACGGAGACCAGGATGGCACAAGTACTAACCAAGCAGGAGACGAGACTAATATCACAGACGACAAGGATGTCGTGATGGAGAATGGTCACGGACATGACGCACATGGTGAGTAATATCTATGTCGTGTGCTTCTTGATGGTATGCTAATCCAGATGCAGATCCTAGTCAGGCAGCGGAAGACAGCGGCACGTATGAGGGCGATGAAGGAATCCAGGGCGACAGCAACATGGCTGATGCTTCAGTTCAAGATGCTTCATATGGCAGCTTCGAAGGCGGCATGCAGGATCAGCAGCAGTTCGGCCATGGTCATCAAGGCTTCAATAACTTCAGCGGCCGTGGAGGCTTCAGAGGTCGTGGCGGCTATGGCGCATTTGGTGGCAGAGGAACTGATAGTACCGACCTCACGCCTACACCAGCTCCGCCTGTCAACGCACCGACCGGGCCCAAAGCTATGCGCGAGGGCAGACCAAACACTGGCTACTTCAGCAGAGTCAACGTGGTTCAGAAGCCGGCGCCAACGCCTGCACCACAAGCGAGGCCTGAATCTCGCCCAAGATCTGTCGAGCCACAGAAGCAGGAAGCTCCCAAGCAGGAGGCTGAACACGACAATCGTGATCACTCTCCATCACGGTCCCGGTCTCGCCATCACGATGAGAGACACGAACAGCAGACTGCTAACGATGAGCATGAGTCAGATGCCGCATATAAACGTCGGAAGGAGCGTGAGAGACAGAAGCGCAAGGACAAGGAGCGTCGCTATGATGAAGATGATCGTAGCGATGGCAAGTACCGCTCGCGCTCAGAATCACGGACTGACGATGGCTCTCGACGACGTCACCGTGATAAGGAGGAAGATGAGTATCGTTCTTCTCGATCGCATCGAGATAGGAGTAAAGACAAGCATAGAAGTCGCCGTCATCGCTCAAGATCTCCTGCGAAGGAGTATGCGGAGGATGACTATTCCCGTCGCAAGAGCAAGAGCGACCGTTATGGAGATGACTACAAAGACTCACGTAGCGGCCGGAAGCATTCCAGCCGTGATGACGACTATGAGTATGCTAGAAAGGATAAGGATCGCTCTTCTCGTTCGTCGAAGTATGAGCGTCCACGTGAGTCCCGTCGTGAGCCAGAACCAGCGAGAAAGATTATTGAACCGCCGTCAGATGAACTTGGTTTCAAGATCAAAGGATCCAAGTCAGCTCGCGCAAACAAGGAGAAGGAGATGGCGCCTCCCACTGCACCAGCACCAGCCTCTTCTGACCCGTACGCCGAAGAACGTGCTCGCGCGCAGCAGAATCGCGAAGCCAGAGAGGCGCAGCGCCGACTGTCCACGCAGTCGTCAAGCCTCGGCAAGCGTGGTAGAGGCGATGATGACAACGAGCTTATGAACGCGCCACGCGGTCCGAAAGGCGACCAGCACCGCATCATGAAAAAGGGCAGTAAGCAGCGGCGAATCAGCTACAAGTACGAAGATGAGGTCGAGTATCGATGAATGCTTTTCATGGGTGAAGAAGGGCACTGCTGTGGTGCGGGTATCTGAGCCTTTCGGCGCGTGAAGTTTGGCGCGCAGCGCTCTCTGCATACCTTCATTGAGCGATGGCTCTAGGACTGTACATTATACCTAGTAGCGTCCGAACAGGATGCGACATACGTACTCAAATCAGATATTATTCAAAGCCCCGTTCCGGGTTTGGAACTGGCTCTGATTTGCTGCGAGTGCAGTTAACGATACGTCGCGGATCGCGGAAGCTGCATGCGCAGCCTGATGGTTGTTGCTTACTATATAGCTGTGTCGCATGTAGCTCTTCCTGGATTGATTTTTAGCACACACCCGAATCAGCTTCCCGTGTTATAGCACTGCCTCACTCTCAGCAACATTCCAGAAACCAATTCAGACCTTCTATTTGGTCAGGATGCCCGAGACACTTACGGCTGCTGTCCGTATCTTTGGGATAGCAGAATCAAATGCTGGAAATGGTTCTTCTTCAACAACGAATCCGAAGTCTTGTGGTTTCGTTGCTGAAAAAAAATTCGAGAGCGAGGCACATCTTACGAGTCTGCGGAAACTACAAGCCAAAGCGGGCCCGATTTATGTTAGCTAGAAGGACTAAATTTGGTACACTCAGTCAGAGGAAGTTGCACTAGAGTATCTATTGTGGAGGTACTCGGATAAGGGTGCAGGAGTTGCAGGTGCAGTGCAGAGAGTAGCCATGATCCTCAAAATCTGCTTTATAACCACACTGGCGTAGCCGCGCCAATGACCTTTCCATCTTCTGTCTTACCCAAGCTGACTCTTGCAACTTCACTGATCTTCTTCCCATCAAACTTCAGAACAGACACTACCCCTTCCTCGCTATCGCACAAAGCCAAGTACTCGCTACTTCCATGCTTAGGATCATAGGGCGCCACTTCAATAGCATTCGCAAGTCCACCAGAAGTGGGTGTCTCCCAAATGTCAAGAGGGGTCTCGCTCCCCAACGTTCCATCTTCCTTCAAGACGTAAGCAGCAACATATCCCATTGTGCTTGCATCGAGTCCTCGATTGGAGGCAAAAAGATGCCGTGGTTTCTGTGGATCTGGGCCAAGAGAGCACCTGACTTCATCCGCCCAGTAGTTCTTGCAGTCTTTGCCTTCAGGAAGCACAGGAGCGCCTTGAAGATGCTTCAGGGTGACACCATCTTCTGCTATACTGAAAACATCGACCATACTGCTGTGCTCCTGCAAGCAATACAAGATCTTGCCATTTGGATGTGGCCAGGTATGACGAGGTCCATCATGACTTCTCGGCGAGATATGCTTCGTTCCAAACTTCAATGGCAGTTCATCAGTTCCTCGTTTCGAATGCGTAACGCTGTACGTCCAGATACAGTTTCGTCCAATGTCCGCAACATATAAATATTTGCCATCCGGCGATAGATCCGCAGAATGAGCACCATGCCTCAGACCCCCAAAGTCCCCATGCGCCACTTCGCCTCTCTTCTCAGATTGATTCTCTCCCTGACCAGTCACAAAGTCAAGTTCCTGAACCAAGCTCCCCAGCGACCCGTCAGCCTCCTTGCGGAACACTTCTCCAGAAGGACCACTAGTCGAGAAGACATGTGTCTCGTTGTTACACACATATCCAGCAAGAGATTTTACGTGCTTGGCATTCAGGAATTGGATGTCTCGGCCCCCAGATCGAATTTCGTAGGAGGCTATGCATGGTTTCTCGGCCCAGACTGTGGTATAAAGGTTCTTCTTGTCTTTGGATAGTGAGAGCCAGGAATGTCCGCCGATAGCTGGATGCTCTTTTACGATTTTTAAGCTGGAGGTCTCAGGGTTGAATTGTAGTAGCCAGAGTGAAGGTGTGCGGAAGCTGCCTACTATGAAGTCCATACTGACGCCGTGGCCGTAGACGGGTGAAGACCAGTTTTGGCTAAACAAGTTCCGTCGCTTTGAAGGCCTCTTCCTGCTGTCGAGTCTACAGAAGATTTGTGTGTAGGCAAAAGGGGGAGATTTGGGTCAGAGGAGCTTGCACTGCCACGCTGATCTAAACAAAAAGCGCATCGGAACAGACTTCACTCCTCGGATATGCATCGGAAGCAAGTCTGGGATGCATATGCTGAGGAGACCAGGGCATAGGTGAAGTGGGCATATTCGGGAGCTCGTGACGGAGTTTGTATGCAGGTACGCGGGCCGGGACTTCACCATTGAAGACTCCTCGGGTCGCTCAAGCTCTGCTCTTGCACTAGAGTCGAAAGCTGTTCATTAAAAGGAGCTCATTGAGCAATATGATGAACGCCGAATATGTTTGTATCATGATGTGAAGATGTAGATGTAGAATGCGATGTCGTCATCCCCAACCAAGACCGAGGCACCCACTTCGTTCCAGCTTCCGATCCAAGTCGACATTGCATGTGATCGTAAACTCCAGCCTGACAAGCGATAATCTTACTCAAAATGCAGTCTGGAATCACAGCCTCGCAAGAGCTGGCAGATGCCTTCAACAACTTTGTCTCAGACGACTCTCAGCGCGCTCTCCTTGCAGGCATTGAAAGCGAAAAGCTCATTCCAACAACGACCATCACAGCCCAGGCAGAAGACTTCAAGCAAGACCTCTCACAATTAAGTCCGCACCTCAACCCGAATGCAGCCTCATACATCCTCCTCAAAGTAGACCCCAGCGCAGCAGACGGCTATGTCGCAATCACCTACGTCCCCAACACGGCTCCAGTGCGGCAGAAGATGCTCTTCGCATCAACCCGCTTGACATTGGTCCGCGAGCTAGGCATTGAACGCTTTCGCCAAACGCTTTTCGCGACTGAAGCCTCAGAACTCACTCCCGCGGGCTGGGATAAGCACGAGCAGCACGAGGCTCTCAAAGCGCCTCTGACAGAAGAGGAAGCAGGGCTAGCAGGCGTAAAAGAGGCCGAAGCCCAAGAATCCCAAGGAACAGGCGCCAGAAGAGGACATGTCACATCAAGAGTGAACGTGCCGACGGGCGACGGAGTTCTCGAAGCCCTTGCAAGTCTAAAAGAAGAGGACTGCAAGGGTACATTAGTGCAGCTGAAATTCGAACTCCCGGACGAGACATTGCATCTGGATTCTTCGAAAGACGAAGTCCAACCCTCAGATGTAGCAGGCCTGATCTCGACCTCCGAACCTCGATACAGCTTCTACAGTCATCCTTCGACAACGTCTGCACAACCGAATATCTTGTTTATATACACGTGCCCTGCGGCTTCGAAGATCAAGGAGAGGATGGTGTACAGCACGGGCAAGTCATGGACGAGGACCGTCGCGGAAAGAGATGCGGGGATCTCTGTGACGAAGACGTTGGAAGCTACGGAGCCTGGCGAGTTGACAGGTGATGTGGTCAGTGGTGGAATCGCAGAGGCAGGTGGAGGTGACAGTGCACCTGGTAGCGGGACTGCGACGCCGAGAGGTGGTGGGTTTGCGAGGCCGAAGAGGCCTGGTAGGCGGTGATAGCCGGCGAGTCACGATCAAAAGTAGTCGAATGAAGTTATGAACTTAGTGCGGCAAGTGTCCAGACACGCTTCCTGTATGAAACAGTGGCTCCAATGAGCAGGCCTTCTTGAATACTTTATCAGTGTTCTTGGAATCTACTTAGGTGCACTTATGATTCTAGCGTGCTGCTGAACGCATGGCCCTCATACTAGCCTCACAGCCTCGCCTCAAGCTTTTGATTATGACAAGCGCCAGCCGAAGTAGTATTGCATGGCCGTCCATCCTACAGTATCAAGATCCGGGCCCCAATACCAAGCATGAAGCTCCGACGCCTCGCTCAAGCTGTATTTTTGCTTCTGTCGACGAGCCTTGTGCCTTGCTTGCATGGTTGGTTCCGGGTCGGGAACTGAAGTACTGAGCCTGGCGTCTCCCTACGTGTCGACCTCGACTCCACCATCCTCATCACTCAATGGTGTGTTTGAGCCGCCGTCAAGATTACAGACCTCCTCCACTGTGCCAAAGGCACGAAGCTTGTTTCCATAGACTCGCCAGAAGTCCGAATTAAACATTGGCATGCCGTTCTTGACGGTGACGTGGTTGGGCACGTGTCTCCATTTAAGATCTTTCGGGTTCTTGTAGAAGGGATCATTAGGATCGGCCTGGCCTATTGTGTCGTCTCCACGGCGCTTCCACTTAGCACCGGGCACTGAAGGCGTGAATCCCTCCTTCGGCGGTGCATTTTCGTCCTTCGTACTGTTTGTAGTCCCAGCTGCTGAGGTGTTCGGTGCATTGAGAGCAGCATCTGCTAGCTTCATGCCAGCCACTCCGTTCTGAGCCGTGTTCACATCGACGTAAGCTCCTTCGGCTTCCAGCTTGGCAGACAGTCTTACCGCCACCTGAGCTGTGAGGAAGCTGTCATAGCCGGCCTCGTGGAATGGCGTCGTGTCGATGTATTTGCGATGCTGGCTGTCCGTCTCGACTACTGGCGTCTCCAGGTGCTTCAATTGGTCGGCTATCTGCTCCAGGGAGGACATTGGGGGAATGTCACCACAGTTATGAGTGGACATGTACTTGGTATCGATGACCATGGGCCACAGCTTATGCAGCTTCTGCTGAAACTCTTCCGCGGTGGCAGGCAAGGGACCAATGAAGGTGTGGTAGATGTAGACCATGTCGAGAAAGCAATTGTGGCCAACAATGACTCGTGGACAGCCTCGAAGCAGGTTTTGCGCTCGAAAGAATTCGGCCTTGAGCGTATCCATATCAGCAAAGATTGGCTCGCCTAGGTCTTGTCAGTATTATCTTCGACATGTGAGGGTTGTGGAAACGTACCTGTCACGGCGTCCTTCGCGCACTCCATCAGGTCTAGATTGGCAATATTGGAGCCATGCATGGCCTCAATGATCCATCGGAAACCCTTTTGTCGATTCAGCTGTGCTTCGAATCGCTCCTTCCTCTCTACTGCTATGCGATCCTCACGCTCCTTGTCGAACTTGACAATCTGCACGAAATTGCGCCGGCCTGGATGTCATGTCAGCGGACCTCGGGGTTGTGTATGCAGATGTTGATCGTACCAAATGTCACCAGTTCCGGGAACTCAGCACGAACAAGCTGATGGACAAGCCTCTTCTCCAGACGCGGCATTTCAGCTGACGACTCGCCATTAACGAGAACGTCGCTGCCAGCCGGCGCAATGTTGAGGTAATCGTGCGTTGCCACGTTTTTGGAGTCAACCCATGCCTGAACCTCCTTCCGTACGCGGTCCATGAATGCTAGGGTCTCGGTTTCAGTTGGCTTGACCTCTATATCAGCAATGTTGCCGCGCTTCTGCCGTTTCTCGTAGCTTTCTCGTGCCTGCCGTGCTTCTGAACGGCTTAGATATGGTACGCCATCCCGGAAGGGCTTGTTCATGTCGAAGCCCACGCCCATGAGAAACTCGCCGGCGCCAGACTGAAACGAGAAATTTCGCTCGACATCAAGTCCACGTTCGTAAATGAGTGGGCAGAGGTCGAAGTTGTAGGGCCGTAGAATGTACCGGTCATTCAGAACATCTTGCTCGACGCACGTGAGGCCGATTTGTAGAATCTGATACCGCTCTGCGGCTTCCTTGACTGCTTGATATCGCTCGTCGAGAGTGCGTTTGCCAGCTCCCCATGATACATGAGAAGGAATGCCGGAAAGCTCCAGGTCGATGGCGACGAAATGTGCCTTGGAGATGTCGGTGAGGATGTCTGGCAGCAAAGGATAGAAGGAAGTCTTGTTGACGTCCATTTTGATGCTTTTTGGTTGACGAATATTACCTGCGATCAGCTGTTCTCGGAAAGCTGTGGTAAGAGGGAGAAGTCGAGGCAGAAATCTGGAAACAATGCCGGATGGTGAGGAAGGATTGGAAGCCGCAACTGAAGAAGAGTAGCAAACTTGCAGGTGTGATGCGGCATGTGTCAAATGCAGCCGCGTCTCCGCCGCATTGACGCGTTTCGAGATGAATTGACTGCTTTTGCGTGTACGAACGGCTTGAACGCAGTGGTTCAGGCTGGAGCTGGAGCTGGACCTCTTGCCAGCGAGCCAAGCCACAGCTGTATGTCACTTGGGTGAAGATGTGATTGCTTCCAAGTGATGGCGGAGTGTTGATGATTTGGCGTGCGACGCGCGATTGACAGGCAAACACTGCAGGTGCATTATCGATAGCGGAGGTTCTGTGACATGGTATGGAATGGCATGGGTATCGGAGTGATGGAGATGCTGTGGTGAGGTCGACGACGACCCGGGAATCATCGGCCTCGGCAGACGCGTGACGACGTTGCCGGAGCCGCGATCAACCTCTCACACAGAATCGTCGTCCTCTCCATCAATACCTCTGCTCCTGCCTGCCCATGGCGCCGCGCACGATGGCATCGACGGGCACGCTCACATACCAGGACACGCTGGACTCTCAATACCTTTCCAGCTCGATCTCCAGCCTCTCACGCTCGCGCTCCACAAACTCCATCATCGTCCGCACGTACAAGCAAGCTACCCAGCTCTACCTCACCAAACGATTCAGGGAAGCTCTTGAGGCTCTCGAGCCGATTGTCAGCCCACAGCAGTCGCCTGGTGGTGCTGGTGCCAGTGCCAGTGCCAGTGGCCTTGGCGGTGCAGACGGCGAGAGCTCTGCTGCGCAAGCTGCGCCCGTCGCGCAGAGCCCCAAGGCTACCCGGACCAAAGTCTGGGTCTTCTATATCAGCTTGCTACATGCCATTGTCGACCTTGGTCCAGAAGAAGGAAAGAATCAATTCGGCTCGGCCAAATGGCGGCAATTGGCTGCCAAAGCAAGGGAGGGCTCGATTTGGGACGAGATTATCCGACATGGCTACGGCGGGAATGAGGGAGAAGTCGACCCGGATGTGGTCGTCAACCTGGCCACACTCCTACATGGACATATGCAAGATCAACACCTGAATCAACAACGACTGGAGGCCTATCTCTCGGCATCGGCAGATGCAGCGCAGCTCGCCTTGTTGAACGACGGCATCGCAACGCCCATGTCAAATGGAACATCATCGCCGAAGGAACTAACTACGCGCTTGAAGATACTTGAGCTCTATACCCTACATGTGCTCCCCTCCAATAATGAGTGGGACTACGCGCAGCAATTTATCGAGATGAATGATATGCTTGACGAGGAACGGAGGGAAGCCTTCCTGCAGGCTTTGGCACAGCTCAAAGAGGAGAAGGATGGGACGGCGCAACGAGAGCGTGAGCTTGAAGAGCTGCGGGAACGCGAGTTGGAGGAACAGAGAGCTGCAGAAGAAACGAAACGAAGGGAGGAGGAGCGCAAGGAGGAGGAGCGAAGAAAAGCTGCTGAGCTTGAGCGGCCGCGTACCAGCACTTCCGCTTCCTCTTCAACCTCACGACCGGCCGACGGACATGCTCGTAACATCAGCGCTACTTCGAATGGCCAAAAGCCAACACCCAAATCGAAAGCACAAAAGAAATCTCGACCTCCGCAGTCCACCAATCTGTACGCACGCGCGTCCTCTGTTCTCAACAACCTCCAGCAAATGATTATGCAAGCAAGTCGCAATATGTCAATGAACAGCATGGCCATGTTTCAGCTCTTGATGTTCGTGTTTGCGTTTTTGTTGCTCATAGCACGTCGAGATTTGCGGCTGAGGCTGAAACGACTGCTCGAGGATGGATGGATGAAGGTCAAACAGACCGTCGGTATGGGTGTCAAGGTCTCGTATATCTGAACATTGCCGCGTTGCTGGCGAGTTGCCGCCGACTAGTATTCGAATCGACGCAATCAATGCCATGTCAGCACTATGCAGCAATCAATCGAGGCACCCGCCGCCGTCGCGTGCAGAGCGATTCTGGGTCCAAAACTGCTTCGAAAATGATCCCCTTGGCGGGAAATCATTGTTTTGAGCGATCAATTCGACCTTGATCTATTTCCCGGATGTAAATTGGGCGCGAAGGATTCGAGATCTCTGCCCGAGCAGACTGCTTTCTCGCGTGGTGCGGCCCGAGGTGTTTGAGGTCGTCCCGTGGTCCTAAAGGTTTTGCGCTTAGCCGCATTGACCAGAGCGAAGCTACGGATATTCTGCAAGCAGTAATGGAGAGGCATCAAGCGCAGGTTGACCTCCTCGCGGCTTTGCTGCGAAGCTCAATGCGCAATGGCTGAAGTCCGCATTCTCCGCGAGGAGAGCTGTGGAAGGCAATGGGTGCAGTTGAATCAAGCGCAAGGCGAGCGCATGGCATCGCCGCTGGTGAACACTCACAGCACCGATACTCTTTCGCGACAAGGTCTTCAGTCCTGCAGTAGTGCTCGCACTCCGGCGTCAACTCCGCCACGGTTTGCTTCAGCGGAGGTCCGAAATGCCGCGCAGTCATGATGACATACGGTTGGGCATCGTGTGGGAGGACGCTTTCCATTACTTTGCATCGGCGAGTCAGCGCTGTGCATGAAGGAGATATGCAACAAGCGGCACTTCACCGCCGCTCTTCGCGATGTGTGAGGAAATCTCGATTGAGGAAGTCACGCCGGGGTCCTTCCTTGCCTCCCATCACCCCCCATCAATCGAGATTCTGTATTTCGCCGCCCGTCTCCAAGCCGATGCTGGTTCGGGCCGAGTAGCCCGTTCATGGGGCAGGGTCCATTTCGCGACCGGGACACATGGTGCTTGAACTTCGGCTCATGCGAGGTTAATTGCGCTGCGCTGCGCTGCTCGCCAGGCAATGCAATGCGATTGCAGGGTGCTCGCCTGCAAGCTGAACAGGCTTTGAGACATGCAGTGCAATCCAATCGCGACACGCTCCGTGACTCTTTGCTCTTTCGAGGCACCAGAAGCTTATTCTATGTGAATTGCGCCCGTGTCAGTGGCTGGAAAGCATGACTACGCTGACAGCAGGCCAAGAGAGGGACCAGGAATCCAAGTGCACGAGCAAGCGCATGTCACCGTACCAGCGCCGCAGCACCAGTCGAGATGAATGTCATCGTGACCGTAGGTAGCAATTGGCCGTTCCACTGAAACTTGAAAGCATGTCATCCGTCGATCTCTCCAATCTAGGCCTGGCTATGATGAGAGGAGAGGTCTGCATGTGATGTGATGCCTTTGACCGCTTTAGGTGAGTTCGTGGCTCGGCTCTTGTTCCTCGACGCCGACGTTGAAGGCGTCGCACAGGACTCATGTGCAGCATTGCGATCTTCACACTGCATACTCAGTAGTGTTATCGGCATGCAATGATGATCATCTTACCCACCAGTGGTGTTGACACACGCTGGGACTTTGCCCTGCAGCTCGAATTGACGACGGAATCATCGGAGCCAGGCATTCTCAGACCAGGCGACAATGGACGCGACAGACGTTCGATCATCGTTATTCTTCATTGTTGCAGTTGCAGAAGGTGGAGCGTGGCGCAGGCACATGCCAATGCAGATGCCAATGCCAATGCACTCCTGCAACTCGTGCCTGCCCGACAGCCAGGTGCGATGGTTGGGTGCATGCATCCGCGACGTCAATTGATTTCGTAGCAGCATCTTTCTCGTCGCCCCGTCGCAATGCGAGCGCTGTACTGTACGGTAGCACTGGAGGAAGCACAGCACAGCACAGCACAGCACAGCACAGCACAGCACGTGGGGAAAGATGGCATGCCGTGGATGCAGCTCCCTTCCCGAAACCTTCGTGCTACCCGTCTTGTTTGACTCGCGCGGAACATGCAAGAATCTTAATCGGAGGCGTCTGCTGACTGTGAAGAGCCATCCGACCTGAGGGTATGATGCCAACGCTAATTCTATGTATTGCACATCCAAGGGGCCGCTGCCGACGATGTCTCGACAATCGGTCTGGGCAGCGCACGGCGCCTTTCACGCATCGTGCATGTGCATGTGCATGTGCATGGGCCTGCATCTTAAATCAGCCACACACACCGAACTGGAAAGCTCGCCACCTACCCTGCCTCCTCCTCCCCAAAGTCATGACGGTCTGACGGTCTTATTATTCACCGTCACTCTCGACTAGCCAGGTAGGCTTGTATAATGCCGACCAACGCATACACGAGACGTCCCATTTCTCAACAAGGAGCCTGGGTTGCTTTCTGGAAGACCTTGGCACCATCAACCAAGCAACAGCCTGATCACGTCCATACGCCTCTTTCGCACCCGTCATCTGACGCCAACGCCTTCTCGACAATCCACGTTCACTTCTACCATGCCCTACTCTAGCCTGAGTTGACATGAATGGGCTCGCGACATAGCGGCGATCCTATCCCGGCGACGACTGCGAGACTTTTCGATCGATTCAGTGTGTGCATCGCTGCTGTGCGCAGTACAGGGCAAGCATCCATACAACAACAAGCCCACGGCTATCTGCTGCATATCGACTGCTAGCTCGGCTCTGCTTCTGTTTTTCTCATCAGCCCATCAGCCCAAAGCAAAATTAAAAAATCCTCGTAATACTCACAAGCCTTTTTGTTTGCACACCTCTTGCACGTCTAAATGGACTTGCTGGATCGAAGATTCCTGCTGCCCGTTGCACTCTTCAGCCAACAAACATCGTTACCACGACGGCCCCCGATCAACCCTGCATAACAGAATGGACCCATCGAGACGAGATCCTGAACGCTCGGCTGGAAAGATCCCGATCAATTTCCTCCTGGCCGAGGATGATAGTGGCACGAACCCGCAGCAATCATCCAATTCACAACAGAGAGGAGCCATCCAATACCGACGAGACCGAAGTAGTCAGGGAAATTCGGTATACTACTCTCCGAACATTGCCTACCCAACCATTGCCGGGTCCACCTCATTATCTCAACGACTGCAACACAACCCTTCTTCTTCTTCTTCTTCTTCTTCTTACCCACCACTTCGAGTCGACCGCACATACTCAACCGAATCTTCATCGTCCGCTGGGAACAGCCAAATAGCCGTGTCACCTTCCACCGAACGAGGAGCATGGCACGCAACACCCGCGCCGCCCGACGGATCTTCGATCTTAGGTGACCGCAAACCTCGCGCTCCCCGTCCTTCTTATTCGGAAGAACAGAAGTTCTTCATCATGTACAGCCGTATTATTCGCGACAACACCTGGCCTGAGATCGAAGACCGCTTCGAACGACTGTTTGGAACGCGGTCGAAAGGCGGGCTTACGTCTGTGTACTACCGGGTGAGAAGGGAATGGGGATTGATGGAGGTGCTGAAGAGTGGACCGGGAAGTTATGCGGCGGATTGTAGGGAAGTGGAGCAGAGGGCGATGAACTTTTCGAGGGAGTTCCTGAGGCAGATCGGGTATCTACCGCAAGGGACTTAAAGTGGTCTTGTTGTATGCACGATCGATTGCGTAATTGCATCTGACCGACAGCCGAGGCGAGGCGAGACCTACTCATAAGACATGATGCGACTGACGGCGGGATGGTAGTCAAGCATTGGAGCGCGACGGAACTTTTGCGTGGGAAATTACGGTGGCCGGTCGCTTTCACATTTGCATTGGGTGGGAGCGTTGTTGTTGTCGTTGTTGTTGTTGTTTTTTTCTCGATAAGAATGGCAATGGAGACACGAAGAGACGAATATGACGGCATGGCCATTCGACACGCGTTGATTGAAAGGAAGCGACCACGCTTCGTACGAAGTTAATGCCAGAGAAATGAGCGCTGCGACGGTCAGAGGGAGAGGGAGAGGGAGGGAGAGAGAGTTGATACCCGGAATACATGAACGGCGCAAAGATCGATATTTCAACATCGGATAAATAGCGAGCTATTGATGCCATTTCAACCGTGAAGTGGACGCTCACGAGTCCTCCACGCCCGCTTCTCCATTGAAGTATCGCGAGAACTGCTGTGGCGTCTTCTTCCTCCACGGATTCATCTGAGCTTCGTATTCCTCGTCGCTGAAGGTATGCTCGTCGTACTCTTCATCGGAGTCGCCAGTGCGGTAGTGATAGGCGTTGCGGTCATGTTCGTCGTCCGACGCGAGCTCGTCTTCTGGGTAGTCGGCACCGTACCAATCCTCGGCGTTCTCGTCATCTTCGTCGCTCGGTTCCTCGTCGCTGGAGCCTTCCTCGATGTATGTTTCCCACACAGCTTCGTCTTCTTCGCCGATGATGAGATAGCCGACATTGCCTTGCGATGTATCAGCTTGCACGGCACCAAGATTAGAGCTCGGCGCCAGGACGTAAGTGTCATACACATAGTCAGCATCATCGTCCATGCTCATATCATCGGTGTCGTTGGCTCGAGAGAGCGTCGACGACTGTGAAGCACGTTGCTGGTGCAAAGCACGGCTGCGCTGCCCCGAGAGCTTGGGCGTGGCTGTGACCTTGGGTTTACGCGGTGGTGTCTGCGTCGTCGCATTCTCCTTGGCTGCTTCCTCTACAGCAAATTGATGAAGTGAATGAGCCATGGCCTCCACCCGCGAATCGTGCTTGGCGTGACCGCTCGCAAAGAAGGAGGGTGCATCGCCGTTGATGTTGACAGCAGCTCCCTTGCCTGGTCGCTTCAGAGGTGCTGGTGGAGGTGGACTTGACAACATGGACAGACTTGACGATCTGTCCCGTCCTGCAATGCCTTCCAGCCGCTGTGCAACGGTCTGCTTCTTCCTTTTCTCAACGAATGTGGCCACGACATCTTCCTTGACCTTCGCCTTGCCTCGCTTCCTCACGCCAGCTTCCGGCGTTGTCGGTCGTTTGAGGTGGAAGACTCGTCGTTCCTTCGCGGCACTTGGTCCTCCGTTGATGCCATTGCCAGAGATGTTGCGCGACACCTTCGGCCGAGCGCTGCTCTCGGCTGCTCGCCGCTCAACATCATCGGCATGGAAGAGGCCTTGCGCAGCTTCGGGCTCATTCTTGTTGTCATGTGTCTCGTGCTTGCGTAGCACATAGTGATATGCATGCTCTGTAGTGTCTTGCTTATTCTTCTTGCCCGGTCGCTCGACGATCAGAGCATCTGGCGCTTGGTCGCCTCTCTTGCGCTTCACGCGCACATGCTCTGGGCCAGACATGGCAGACATGGTGTGTCCCCGAGCTTGGGGGTCTTTCAGGAGGTCGAGACGATGCGGAGTTGCTTCAGGAGTGATATAACATGCCCCTTTCAAGGTGCGCTGGCTCTGGCGCCACGAAATCTCGGAGGTCCCGACAAATGCTCGGAAATGGCGAAGGCGAAAATGCAGTCAGTATTTACAAGTGCTGTCGTTCAAAGATGACTGCTTCGATGCTGTTGTGCATTCAAGACATGCAGGTACCCTGTAGCCAGCCATCGACTCAAGGCAAAAACCTCTACGTCACACGTTTCACTTCACCGAACACAGAACAGCAACTCACGTGCTGGCTGCACATTCACCAGCAGCGAATATCCTGTGCGCTGAGCTGCAAATGCCGCACAAGGCTGTCCTTTTCTCAACCCGCCGTACCAAATACAACTATCCCGACGGAGCCTCAGCAAACACGACAAACTTTCTGCACAGGCAGCAAACATATTGGACCCGGAATCCTTCGATATGAGAGTTTGAATTCGACGATGGAGCCAAAGATAGGCCATCTCGTACTCACTCATCCACATAGCACAAACGAGAACGCTCACAAGCTCGTGCTCTCATGCAATTCCAAATCATGTTTTGTTCCTCGACTTCTGCCTTGCCACTGCCTCCTTAAGTGCAGCAAGTCTCTCTTCCGTCGTACGGATGGCATCGTCAATCTGACGTTCGCTCATGCCTTCATCTTCCAGTTTCTTGCCCATACTTCGTGCCTTCAATACCTTCTGTCTCTCTGCTTGTTCGCTGTTCCTAGACGACGCCGCATAGACTCCATCGACCCCAACGCGGTCCTCCAACCAATCCCACAACGCGCTCTCTTCCCTTCGCCACATCTCCTCGTACGCTGCTATGCGCTCAGGAGGAGGGCGGCCTGGGTATCCGAGACCAGAGTGCGATCGCGGCGCTGATGCCCATGTATAGACCAGCAGTACGAACAGTACAGCAATGATCACCTGAGAGGTGACAAACGGTTGCAGGACAGATGACAGGATATCCGCAATAGGGTGAATGGGCTCGAAGATTCCCCAATCAGAAGCTTTGGTTTCTAACGCAGCCACTGCAGCCTCTCTCTGTGCGTTGGCCTCTTCCGCGTCCAACACTTCTCTCTTCCCTTTCCGTTTTCCCTTCTTCGCTTGGCCTTTGGCTGGCGCTTTGGTGGTCACTGCAGCCTTGAGAGCAGCGACAATGTTTTTCACGTATTCTACTTGACCGTCGTTGGCACCCTTTTCGATGGCACCTACGCATGTCAGTGAAACATTCTCGTTCTGGGTAGTGAACATTACGACTTACTCTTGAGCCAACTCTTGGCAGTCCACTCGATGCAACAAGTAGCGATCATCCTTGTCGTATTATTCGGACCCCACATTAGACAGTAACGAGTCTTTGTTGTGAAGCTGCCACCACTAGGAACATCAGGCGTAGCAGTGCTGCAATCCACAGTCACTGCCTTCTCGAGATCGAATGCTCTTAGGGTATTCGTTGTAATGCACTTGGTCTGCTTCGGTCCCACGGGAGCGTTGAGCGGCTTGATGTAATCGAACGTGAATGTTTTGTGCTCGTTATCGAGGCCAGTCTTGTCGTCAGTCCAGTTGAGATCGCGTGATTTTTGCTCTTCCACGAGCCATTTCTTCATGAAGGCTCCAGACGCAGGACCAAACATCATAGAGTACACTTGACCAAGCGGCGCTGGGATTGTTGTGTCGGTCAATGGCCGGTCGTAGTGCTCTGCCGTGTCTGTGCACTCCGTGGGCTCGTGTGTGGTACTGCCAGGGAACTCGCTGCTGGTCGCCGCACCAGTGACCAAAGTATCAGCATTTTCCGAACCTTTTGATGCGTTGCCGTTGGGCATCGGGGCAATAGACATCGGAGCAGCAGAAGTTTTTCGGCTGAGACCCAAGTCACCAACATTGCTTCCAGCGTCACTAGCCACCATGCCTCCGTCTGTGAAACTGCCGGCGTCTTCGTCTGCGTCTTCGTCATATACCTCGTCTTCAGATCCTTCCTCCGTGCCATCTTCCATCTCCTCTGGCTCTGCTATTTCGGTCTTGTCGCCAGTACCCGCGTTGTCCAGTCTGACGCCGTTCAGAGAACTCTTCAGATTCGGATGACTGACTTTCCAGATGCCGATGAGTAGTTCGTAGGTCGAATCACGGGCCACAAAACTTGCGAAAGTGTTTCGCGCATTGAGCGTTGATATAACGATGGCATTAGGAAAGATGACCGCGGTGCTCTTCTTTTCCACAGAGACGACCTCATCGAAGCTGATGACCAGATTCGTCACCCATCCGAGAATATTGCTCGAAAAGCATATGTGTCCTTCTGATACATAGAGACGGCCATGTAGCAAGATATCGCGCTGCAAAGCCGCTGAGTAGTCTTCGATCAGGTAGTCGTCTTCTGGCACACTCCGAAAGAGCTGATGGAAGTCCTTGTTGCGCTTACTACTCGCAACTGCGAACCCGGTTAACCGATGACCCAAGCCGAGCGCACCCGGATTGGCCATTCCAAAGGTACTATCTTTGAGTGCCGCAGCTATCGAGTTACTTGTACCAGTAGTCGCTGAGCTTCCGCGATGCTTTCGACGGCCGCTCAGCTTACTCCGGACGCTTCCTGACCGCTTGATGCCATTGCTCTCCGATTCTACGTTCGACCTTGGCGGAGTTTGGTCACCATTCATCAGTGTCAGACGTTCATTAGATGCGATTGACAAGGGTCTGCCAGTTGCTTGGCTCACGACCGCTGCGACCGGTCTTTCATAAGCTGTGGATACAGCACGAGCGGCTGCTTCCTCTTCCGCTTTCCGGCCCCGGTCTCCAGAATGTGCATCGTCTTGCGCTGTGTCTGTCGTTGATGAAGACATCAAGTTCGGTTCACTCTCACTGATCCCTAAATGACCGAAATTGAGATTGCCTTTACCTATAGTCTCCACCGCTAGTGGCTTCTTTTGATCGCCAGTCCAGCCTGTTCCTGGTCTGCTTTCCGATCCAGGAATGACTTCTTCTCCACCTCCTACAGGTTCAATCGTCTGTGGTGTACTGTTGACCTTGCTCTTCTGACCTGGTAATATGGACGTATTGATACTTGTTCCGACCTGACCGGCAGCCTTTGTCGCAGCAGAGAAGAAGGACGAGAAGAAATTGGGCTGCGTCAAAGTTCCACCAGGAGTCTTGGTCTCTTCGGCAGTCGGCGTCAGAGGCGCATTGATGGACGCGGAAAGCTTGCTTGGAAGGTTTGCTGACTGCGCGCGACGATGCCTAATGCTCTCAACAGAGCTCAAAGGACGAGCTGCAGACGTGCCTTTTGTCGGTGAATCAGGCTTGGAAAATGATGCAGTGGGTTCAGTAGGTGTTGGCGGCGTAACGAGGGTGGTGGGTGTTTGCAACAGGTTTGGCGGAGTTGCTGGAAATGTGGTGTCCACGGGCTGACGTATTCGCTGCTTCGGCGTCTCTGGTCTCTCCTGCTTCTTCTCCGTCGGGATCGTAGGGACCACACCTGACCTTGGTGCTTCCTCTACCCTTTCTACTGGCTGTGAAACGCTGGATAGACGATCCAGAGAACGATTGCTTCGACTTGCTGGCCTGAAGAGCCCACCTAGTCCTCCGCCGCCGCCGCCTCCTCCGGCGTTTAACGAATCTGCGTCTCCAGATTTCTTTCGCGCAAGTGTAAACTTCTCTCTTAACCTTCCCGAGGGTGATGGGCTGCGCGCGGGCACTGAGGCAGCAGGCAAGCCTTCCGTGGTTTCAACGGGTTCTACAATGGCTGGTATTTTGGAGAAGGGATCGGCTCTTGGTGGCGGAGGCTCGGGAGAGGGAACAGGAGCAGTTCCTGCAATGACAGGTTTGGGGTTCGCGTTCAGCTCGGGCGATGACAAGGTAAGGTAGCCAGCGTGTGACTGTCGCGGCGATAGTGATGGCCTTATCGGGTTGCTGTTGAAAACAGTCGTCAATTGCGAGGTCGCAGGAATGTGATGCAAGGAAAACAACAAAGGTAGTGCCCGGGGCCTTCAACTGGACCTGCCAGAAAGCGCAGGTGAATTGCAGAGGTCAACGTGCACGCAAGCGAAAGGACTAATGCGCTCGGCGCGTGGGTCTGACATAGGGCCATAGGCATGAAGCTTGGGTGCCAACTCCGGGGCCCGGCCCGTGCACGCGGCTCTGTCCGTTCCAGCCGTTCCAGTGCGTGCAGTGTAGGGATGCGGGATGCAGCTGTGAAAGTCGAGCCTCCGAGGTTTGGGTGGGGTGGGGTGGGGTGGGGGGAAGAATGATGCATCTGTGTGCAGTGTAGGATGACTGGCAGAAAAAGGGTGAACTCACCTGTTTGGGTCCAATGCCTCGTCGTCGGTCAAAAGACTGCTGCGGCCGCTGCCGTCCAACGGCGAAGCAGAGTCGGATTGATTTCCGTCAAAGCCAGAGGAGTCCACGCTCAAAGTCCTTTCGGGCGCAGAAGCCTTCTCGCCTCTGATTTTGCGCTTTGTCTGGGACACAAGCGTGGACAGTCGGCGTCCAGGTATGTTGTCGCTGCCGCGGCGACCATCGACAGAACGCCGTCTCGTCCTGTCCTTGACCTTGTCGATTGCTGCATCCACCGAGGAGCGCAGCAAGCCCGTGTCTGTCGCCGAAAAGGCAGATTTGTCGTCGCCATCGCCAGAACTGTTGGTCAAGGAGGTGGTAGATGCGCTGACAAGGCCCTTGCCACGAGAACGCAGCTTGGACAATGCGCGCGGAGATGGCTCAGCAAGCGACATTGTCAACGCCGTCTGGAGCACCGAGTAGTCTAGGCCGTGGGAGTACTACCATGCATTCGTGCGACGCATGACATGAGCGCGGGTGCATAGGATATTTATTAGAATATGGCACAGAACTACATTCCCGGTGCTGGGATCCCCAGTAGACAGCACAATGTTGATTCGAGCAGCGCGTGGCAAGCGTATACGTCCAGTGCGCGGATCGTGTGTAGCAAGCAGTCTGGATTGTTGGAAGAACTGGAGTTTGCGGCAGTCAAAAGGGCAGGCAGGCAGGCAGACAGGCAGGCAGGGCAGGGCAGGCCGTGAACCGTCTTGGTCGGCGGTCGCGTGGGGTCTTCGGCTCAAAACCTTCGAAAAGCACATGCCATGTCCACGTGAACCACATTTCCACCCTCAAAGCCATCCATCCTTCTTGTGTGAACATAGCCTGTTTCGATATGGCCGAGCCAGCGGCGTTGACGACGGTCAGTCCAGCTCACGTTGTGTAATCGAGAACATGCTCATTCAGAACAGGCTCACGCTCATGCGCGCAAGGCGGCAGAGGTCACGCAGCAGGTCGACTGGACCCAGGCGGCGGATGAACACAGTCAAGCAGCAAACGACTATGCAAAGGCAGCCAAAAGTACGGGAGACTCAGAAGTGAGCTGCATCTGCGTCGTCATGGAATCCATTGCTAATAGCGCAGGCTCTTCGGGTTCTCAGGCTGCTGGAGGAGCAACATCTCAAGCTTGCACGCATCATCAAGCTGCAAGATATTCCTGACTCAGCGGACGAGCCCGACAAGACTGAGGAGCTTACCAAACAATCATTGCAAACCGATCAAGACCCTGCCGTGTCCAGACATGACTTTGCCCAGGCAGATAAGACCATATCAGGCACGGAAACCAAGACCAACCCTGCTGCGAAGCCAGCGACTTCCTCTCTTGCTGCCGCACGCTTTGGAAGCTCGATTCGTGATTCATCGCCGTCACTCGCACGAGACATAGCATCTCGACGAGGCATTCCTCCTTCACGTCGCAATCCACCATCGGCAGCAGCGCAGGCAAGAGCGAGGCAGCTGTCGCCTGAATCTCATCGAAGGAATCGATCAAACGCAACCCCAAGTCCCAAAATTCCGCCTTCTATCATGGATAGCCAAACTTTGAAGCCTGCGCAAATGCTCAAGAAGGCAGAGGACGATGATGCCTTTTCCAAGTTCTACACGAACATGACTACGGGAACCATGTCAAAGTTATCATCAGTATTGGCATATGCAGGCTTGCCATTGACTGCTGACGACGTTAAGCCAGAGCAGGCACCTCAGCAGAAAATCAAGCAACGTACCGTCACTGCAAGCAACGAACCCGATGTCAAGAAGATCTTTTCCAAGGCCGCCTTGAATGCAATAGAGGATGAGCATCGCCAGCGAGGTCACCAAGGCCATGCATTCGGCCCTGCTGAGAGCTTTTACGTCGTCCAAACAGGTGGCGGGACCTATTCTTACGCCGATATTGCCAAAGCTCAGCAGCAACAGCAACTTGGAGGAATTGATGAGGATGACGAAGAGTCTTTTGTAGATGCTCGAGAGGCTCAAATGCCGGATTCTCCCAGGCACAGCCGTTTCCGATCACAAGGACGTGGCTCTTTCGGAAAGTCTCGAACGCACGAAGAGCTAGAGCTGGAAAACACTACCCTTAAGCACACCTTGGAGCAACTTGCCACGCGTTTGACAGACTTCGAGACTCATGCTCAGGATGCCTCGATGGCGGCTCTGACACAAAGCGTCATGAGTGTAAAGGCTGAGCAGCGGCCCGCTGGCACGAACGAAGCCGCGTTGCTTGAACGCCTGAGGCAAACGGAAAAACAGCTCGAGCAGCAGACCGAAGACAATCAAAGATTGCAGGAAGTGCGTGCTAAGCAAGAGAAGACCTTAAAGAAGTATCAGTCGAAATGGGAGGAGATCAAGACCAGTGCAAAGGAGAAACAGAAAGCGAAGGCCGAAAGAAAGGAGAAAGAGGCAGAGGCAGCTGGTACTTCTTCCTGATGAGATGCACCTTCGCCTTTCTGATATGAGAGATGAGCTGGACATAGCCTGCGTGCCAGTAGGATGTTGAAAGGGGAAGATCATAGAGTACTGTCGGCCAAGAAAAGAATACCTGAATTCTTCGCAACGAAATCCGCATTCACAGCGACCTTGTTGTACACGAAAGTGATTGCCATTCTTATGGAATGACAATGCTCAATCCGTCATCACGACTGTTTTGCCCCGAACCAAATCGCAGGTCACTGAGTCGCTGCGTTCTTCTCTTCGCAAGCAATAACGTAAAATGTTAGATACGTCCAAAATTCTCGAGGCAGGCTGGAGCTCTCTCAAAACATTGCTTGGGATCGCTAAGTCCTACATCTTCGCTGTCACGACATTTTACGTGCTCGTCGCCAAGAATCATATCGCAGCTGCCACGCTCTTTTACCCTCTGCGCACGCTCGTGTTCCGACCTCTGGGTGCAGATCATGTTTGGAGCAAAATCGTATCCGGCGTCACAACAATATCCTTGATGTACGACATATCCGACATCTTGCGAGACACTACCTCGCAGACATGGGAAGAGTACTACTGGGCTTGTGAAGGTATGGGTTTCTTGTTTATGGTGTTGTCAGCTGGCAGTATTGCTTTGGAGCTCGCGAGGAGTCCTTGGGAGGGCGTGAGTGTCGACGTGGGAGTAGCGGCAGTCATGGTCACGATGGTTTCTGGGTGTACGATGTGCTGGGCCGTGCAAAGATGGCGGAATGCCCTCGAAGACTTGGTATTGGATGTGCTGGAAATGTTGTATGGTGATTGAAGATCAAGGTCATGAGGCTAGTGTACAGCTTTGTCTACTGTCTTCATGGCCATCCACTGCCATAATGGCCAGATGCTGGCCTTCTCATCCGAAACACAAGTGTCACCCATGAGAGCAGTATGACTCCTGCTTGCAATGGCAATTCGAAGCTATGCAGCTGAATGCTCAATTGTATGACATCGCTCGCTGGGATCCCGAGGCATATCCTTCATAGTGTACATTGATATCACCAAGCTTGTCTTTTACAGCGCAGCGCCATTTGCATGCATTGAACGCCATCACGCACATCCAGTCCCAAGTGCTGGTTCCCTTACTCCATCTTGACTACAGCACCCAAGCCCTTCAATGTCTCAATGATCTTTTCGGCTTCCTCTTTCGGCACAGCCTCCTTCATCAGCTTCGGTGCTGACTCCACGAACTTCTTGCTGTCTATCAATGATAGTCCTAGCATCGCCTTCACCTCCTTGATGACCTTTGCCTTTGCCGCTGTCTCAAACGATTCCAGCTTCAAGTTGAACAATGTCTTCTCTTCCTGCTTGGGCGCTGCTTCCTCTGGCTCCTCCACTGCGGCTGCCGGTGCGGCCGCTGCTGCCGGTCCTGCGGCAAATCCTCCAACTGGCATATCCGGGATGTTTAACCGTGACTATACAATCCTCAATGTCTGTTTGCATGATTGGGTTGCCAAACATTTGCCTACCTTTAGCGTTGATACCAAATCTGCAGTTTCCAATAACGTCAATTGGCTAATCTGATCTACGATGCCAGCAATCTTGGGATTCGATGCTGCTGCTGCGGCTTCTGTCGATTGCCATCTTCTCTGCTGTCTTCGCTGTGGTGCTGTAGAAGCTGCGTATCGGAAGGCGTTGGCTTGGCTCGATCGAAGACATTGAGCGCATCGTCGCGCGGCGAGCGGAGGAGCGAGAGACATGACGGCAAGCTTGTACAATGGAGGTGTGTTCAATGCATCTGCTCGTGTGTTGTCGCTGCGTCCTCCTTCCAAAACTGCGGCGACAGCCCGATCGGGGCAAGCACCACCGACGGGCCCGCACAGGCCACAAAGCTTGGCGTGTCCGCCAGATAACTTTTCTTTCGACGCGCGCCTGGCAGTCTTCATCACGACAACGCCATCTGGGCGCATCATCGCCGCTACCCGCATTCTGACTGAAGATGGAGTGCAAGTGGGACGACGCGCTGCTTGAAGGCGGCGACGAGCTCCCAGCAGAGCTGCTCGACTGCATACGGCGGCAAGCCGATCATCGAGAATACTTAGAAGCTCTAACAAGGACGATACTGGATGCACGATACACTTACACAATCCTGGCGCATTGCGAGAACATTTTAGCTCATTTGTGCTCTTCTGCTCGCATACATGCCTCATTTGCGGCCTCGATCGCTACCCTAGGCAAGATTGTTCCATTTGCGCCTTTTCTCACGCCTCTTGCCACACAGCTACTGGACACTGAGCATTTCAGGCTGGGCGAAAATGAATCAGACGACGCGCTCTATCTTCTTGGCTTGTTCAGACTGCTGCGATCCAACAGTCGAGTCTTTCGGCATTATGTCAGGGATAGGGAACTCGGCCTTCTTCTTGATAAAGGTAAAGGCAGTCGACATGTCACATATCTTGCTATCAGGATCCTTCAGATTGCCCTGGAAGGCTCGGATCATTGGCTCGAGACCACAATTTCTCGGTATCTTGGCGAAGACTCTGCAGAGACGGGTATTTCTGGGCCGTGGGACGAGAAGACCATCGATTACCGATTCCTGACGCTGTGGGAGGAAGACCGACAAGAAGCTGTTCAAAAACAGATCGCAACAACAAGGATCAGCCATAATCAACCATCCATATCTCGCACCATTCCGGCGGAACTTTTTCACCAGTCGACATCGCAATTTGGTCATGTGTTGTTTCCAGCATCCGCATCACCAGCTTCACAAATCCCATCGAGCACCCTTAAAGTGACGGAAACTATCTCAAAGAACCTTGGTGCCATCGCACAGGCTCTGAAAACGTCGGCACCTTTACTTCTCTCTGGAATGGCAGGTTCCGGCAAAACCATTCTTGCTCGCACCGCGGCAGAAAAACTGGGCAAGCTTGATTCGATGGTGACACTGCATTTGAATGAGCAGAGTGATGCTAAAATGCTTCTCGGCATCTACACTACCGGCGAGAGTCCAGGCTCGTTCATGTGGAAGCCCGGTGTACTCACAACAGCTGTTCAGGAAGGTCGCTGGGTGCTAATCGAGGATCTCGACAAGGCGCCAAACGAGGTCCTTGGCACGCTCTTGCCTCTGATTGAGAAGCGCGAACTGTTTATCCCACATCGGAAGGCTAAGATCTATGCTGCTCAAGGTTTTCGAATCATCGCAACGATTCGAACGTCGATTAATCACAGAGGCGAGGAGACTCAAGCCTCAACGAATATGCTTGGTGCACGGCATTGGACTCGGGTGCCTATCGCCATGCCCACAATGTCTGAACACGCAATCATTGCCAGGTCTTTGTTTCCAATGCTGGAGAGGTTTCTCCCGCAGTTCATTGCAGCATACGAACGCATGGACGCAGACAGACGGCAGTCTTCACAGCAGAGTCAAAGTCGGACTGGGGTACTGCGTCCAATCAGCCCTCGAGATCTACTGAAGTGGTGTCAGCGAGTCTCTCTGTTGCTTACGTCGCGATCTTCCATCACCAGCACTGAAATGGACGCTATCTTCCTGGAGGCAATCGATTGTTTTGCTGGTGCTCTGCCCGACGGACCGATGCGTTCAAGCATCGCGAGCGCCATCGCGGAGGAACTCCACATCGATCCACAACGGCGCGACTTCCTGCTGCATTCGCGAGAGGTACCATACAAGGTTGATCAAGACAAGATCACTATTGGTCGGTACAGTCTTCCACGGTCACGATCTACGAAAGCAATAGGCTCGTTCTCCACGAATCCACACACAACAAGGATGCTTGAGCGCGTGACAGCAGCAGTCGCCAACATAGAACCGCTTCTGCTTGTAGGTGAGACTGGTGTTGGCAAAACGACGGCTGTGCAGCACTTGGCGAACCATCTTGGAAAGAAATTGGTTCCGTTCAATTTGTCTCAGCAAAGCGAGGCTGGAGACCTCCTCGGTGGCTTCAAACCAGTCAATGCCAGAACCTTGATGGTACCACTCAAGGACAGATTTGACGAGCTTTTCGCGCAGAGCTTCAGTCTAAGCAAGAACAAGAAATTCATCGATCAACTGAGCTCTCAGATGGCCAAGGGCAATTGGCGCGGCGTCTGCAAGTACTGGCGACTGGCTCTGGAAATGGTTGCCCAACAGAGAACGACATCGCCACCGAGAGATGGAGAAGCTCCCGCAAAGAAGCGCAAGACAGCGACGTCGCAGGTGATTGATTTTCCTGCGTGGGACGCTTTTGAAGCTGAAATCACGAGCCTGCAACGCAGACTTGGCGCCGGGACTGATTCATTCGCCTTCACATTCGTGGAAGGCAATATCGTCAAAGCAGTCCGCAGTGGAGACTGGGTGCTCTTAGATGAGATCAACTTGGCTTCTTCGGACACGCTAGAGTCTATTGCAGATTTACTGGATCCTGATGCTCCTTCGTTGCTTCTGACCGAGGCCGGCAATATTGAACGTATCAATGCCCATCCAGAGTTTCGGGTCTTCGCAGCGATGAATCCAGCGACAGACGTAGGCAAGAAAGATCTGCCACCTGGGGTTCGCTCCCGCTTCACGGAATTATATGTTGAAAGCCCGGACAAAGATCTCAATAGCCTTCAAAGCATAGTGCGTGCATATCTGCGCCAAGAAGCTTCAGCGGACGCCGCTATTGCATTGGACGTGAGCAAGCTCTACCAAGCCATTCTCGCTTTGGCAGATGAAAATAAACTGGTCGACGGTGCGGGTCAGAAGCCACATTTCTCGCTGAGGACGCTCACCAGAACATTGAGCTACGCAAAGCACATTCAGCAGATGTGTAATCTGCGTAGAGCATTGTACGAGGGGTTCCAGATGAGCTTTCTAACATTCCTAGACGTAGAGTCTGCAGCACTTGTGCAGCCTCTCATTGTCAAGTTCCTCTTTGCAAAGCGGACCAACGTCAAGTCGGAACTCAAGAAAGCGCTACAACCTCCAAAAGACGGTCACGAGTACGTGCGCTGCCATGACGGTAGCAAGCATTGGATACGAAAAGGCGCTACTCAAGTGCAGGATCAGCTCCACTACATCATCACGCCCTTCATTGAGCGGAACTTGGAGAATCTCGTTCGGGCGGCCAGCACTCGGCAGTTCCCTGTTTTAATCCAAGGCCCTACATCTGCCGGCAAAACAAGCATGATCGAGTATTTGGCGAAGAAGACAGGCCACAAATTTACTCGTATCAACAACCATGAACATACCGACCTGCAAGAATATCTTGGCACATATGTATCCGGCATCGACGGCCACCTTCGATTCCAAGAAGGAGTGCTCGTTAAGGCGCTTCGCGAAGGACACTGGATTGTTCTAGATGAGCTCAATCTTGCACCAACGGATGTCCTCGAAGCCCTGAATCGACTGTTGGACGACAACAGAGAACTTTTAATTCCAGAAACACAGGAAGTTGTTCGACCACACACGGATTTTATGCTCTTCGCCACTCAGAATCCAGCTGGTCTCTATGGCGGCCGCAAGACACTTTCCAGGGCTTTTCGGAATCGTTTTCTTGAGCTACACTTCGATGACATCCCCGTCAACGAATTGCAGACCATCCTTGAGAAAAGAACACGACTGCCACCATCGCGCTGTGAACGCATCGTCTCTGTGTACAAAAGTCTATCCATCTTGCGACAAGAGAGCCGTCTTTTCGAGCAGAAGAGCTTTGCGACTTTACGTGATCTTTTCCGCTGGGCCCTTAGACCGAATGACACGATTGAGCAACTTGCAGTGAATGGCTACATGCTTCTCTGCGAGCGCGTACGAAAATCAGAAGAGCGGTCTGCTTTGAAACATGTCATCGAGGAGGCCATGAGCAGGAAAGGCCCTAAAGTCCGCATTGATGAGAATGAGCTATATTCCAATGATTGCCCCGAGGTAATGCACCATCGGCGCCACGCCTCCACCCACGGCGTGGTGTGGACCAAAGCAATGCGGAGATTGTACGTCCTCGTGGCTCGTGCAATCGCGAACAATGAGCCGGTCCTCCTTGTCGGCGAGACTGGTTGCGGAAAGACGACAGTCTGCCAGATGCTCTCAGATGCGCTGAGGAAGACCATGTATACTGTCAACGCACATCAAAACACCGAGACTGGCGACCTCATCGGCTCGCAGCGTCCTGTACGAAATCGCGCGGCCGTTGAGACCGAGCTTCGCGAACGTCTTCTCGACGTTCCACTCGGTGACAGCGACCGCATTGAAAACCAAAGCACTGATGAGCTGCTGAAATCGTATGACCATATGCTGTCCGCAATGGATGCCGAGGCGAGGTCGGAGCGCCTTCAAAGCACCAGTCACGTCAAAATTGTTACTCTACGCACCAGATTCAAAGCACTGTTTGAATGGGTAGATGGTAGTCTAGTCCAGGCTATGCGTGCTGGTGAGCTTTTCCTGCTTGACGAGATCTCACTCGCAGACGACTCTGTCCTGGAGCGACTGAACAGTGTACTGGAGCCCTCGAGAAGTATTTTGCTTGCGGAGAAAGGTGCCCTTGACTCCTCTGTAACTGCGAGCCATGGATTTCAATTCTTTGCGACTATGAACCCAGGAGGTGACTATGGTAAGCGAGAGCTTTCGCCTGCGCTCCGGAATCGATTCACGGAGATCTGGGTACCTTCAATGTCTGACATGGACGACGTCCTCCAGATCGTGCAATCGAAGCTCGTAAGCCCAGCCCAGCCTTATGCGAGTGCTATGGTTGCCTTTGCCAGCTGGTTCAAATCTCGCTTTGACACATCTGCAAGCTCTTCTGTGTCAATCCGTGACGCGCTGGCCTGGGTCCAATTTGTTAATGCCTTCGCACAGCACGGTCCTGTACCTGCTGTAGTTCATGGAGCTGCTATGGTCTACATCGACACACTTGGTGCCAATCCTGCTGGTCTCATGTCAGCAACTTCGCAGAGCCTAGCTTTGGAGCGAGCTGCTTGCATTCAAGAGCTTGGCCGCCTTATGGTCGTCGATGCTACGTCGATTTACTTGCAATCTCTGGAGCTAGATATCGATGACAGCACATTCAGGATTGGGCCGTTTAACCTCGCTCGGGCGCCTGCGGCCACGAAGTCAAGCATATCGTTCACCTTTGAGCCGCCCACAACCAAGATCAATGCCCTGAGGGTGCTCAGAGCTTTGCAACTTTCAAAGCCTGTTTTACTCGAAGGTAGTCCTGGGGTTGGAAAGACTGCTCTCGTGACCGCAATTGCAGACGCGGTAAATATGCCACTGACGCGCATCAATTTGTCAGACCAGACCGATCTCTTAGACCTATTTGGTTCTGATGCGCCTGTCGAGGGAGCGAATACTGGGACTTTTGTCTGGCGTGATGCTCCGTTCCTCCGTGCCATGAGGAAGGGTGAGTGGGTACTGCTAGATGAAATGAACCTTGCCTCGCAGTCAGTACTGGAGGGCCTCAATGCTTGCTTAGATCATCGAGGAGAGGTCTTCATTCCAGAACTTGGCCAGACCTTCTCGCGACATCCGAATTTCCGCCTATTCGCCGCCCAGAATCCCCATCATCAAGGCGGAGGACGGAAAGGACTTCCTGCGTCGTTCGTCAATCGCTTCACGGTCGTGTATGCCGACTCATTTGCAGCTGAAGATCTGATGCTTATTTGCCGGCGCAAGTTCTCAAGTATGGGCGAGGCTTACATTGCAAAAGCTGTGGAGTTCGTCAGTAAGCTCAATCATGAAGTTGCCGAGCGACGTGCTTTCGGGACGAGCGGTGGACCTTGGGAATTCAACCTTCGAGACATCACCAGGTGGCTCGGGGTGGCCGCATCCCACACTGGTCTGCTCAGGGCAGGCAGCCCGAAGGACTTCGTGACCATGTTGGTCTCTCAGCGGTTCCGATGCGCTTTCGACAGGGACTATGTTGAAAGTCTTTTCACGTCGACATTCGATGGCGATCAGCATCTGGCCGATGCCTTCTGCAACCTTTCCAGATCGACTATACAGGTCGGACTCGGGCTATTGCCGCGGAACCAGATCAACGCAACATCCTTCTATGCCAACATTCATCGAGAGGAGCCTGCCTATAATCTGCGAGTAGTGGAAACAGTCATGCTTTGCGTCGATCAGGCCTGGCCAACCATTCTCACTGGATCGCCGGGTGTGGGCAAGACCACAATCCTGGAAGGACTAGCTGCCGCGGTTGGTGCAAACGTTTTCACGCTTGGTATGAGTGCCGAGACCGACTCGCTTGACCTCATCGGAGGCTACGAGCAGTATGATCCTCATCGACAAATCGCTGCAGCGCTCAATGAGCTGCGTTCGAAGCTGACCTGGCGCATCAAGGTCACTCTAGCTAATGGTTCCGGGACTGAAGCAGCCGCTCTGCGCGATGCATTGGTGAACGTTGAAGCCAGCCCAAAAAATGCTTCGAAGCATGCGGAACTGATGAGAAAGCTGTCAGATGATGAAAGAGCGGAAATTGCTCCCTTACTGAATGTCTTGGCCAGCGTTGACGAGGCCATAGACAAAGCACGGTTTGAGTGGATCGACGGTCCGCTGATCGAAGCGATGCAACAAGGAAAGTGGATGATTCTCGACAATGCTAACCTTTGCAGTCCTTCTGTGCTCGACCGATTGAACGGATTGATGGAGCCAGACGGTGTGCTTATCGTCAACGAGCACAGTGCTCCTGATGGGAGTGCTCGCGTGGTCCGTCCCCATCCTGCCTTCCGAATTTTCCTCACCGTGGATCCTCGACTAGGAGAATTGTCGCGAGCGATGCGCAACCGCGCGGTCGAGATTTACCTTCCAAAAGCAGACGGTTCGACAGCAGTTACGACAGCAGACTTGCATCCTGAATCTGCGATGACTCGGTTCCGAGCGTTTCGAGACGCTGGATCTGCCGTTGCCGATGAACAAGCATTTCTAATCAAGCAAGATCATCTCAGCCTCGCCGACCAGGCGCTTGCGCCACGATTTTACACCCAGCTTCAGCATGGTCTCTATGGCGCAGGTTCTCGCAACGCCGAACAGATCCATTCTACCTGTTTCGGGCTTGGGTCAGCCGCGAATTTGCCAGCTGAGACCATTTCACTCTACGCAGAAAGCGCAAATGCACTAGAGGCACCTGCTGACTTTGCTTATGCACAGGTCAGTAGCCAATCTTTCCCAGTAAGTATCATTGCTGACGGTAAGTTCTCATTGCAGACGTCACACCCTCTCAACAATCAGCCTCTTGTGCAAGTTTCCGAGCAATCTTTCAACAAGGCTTGGTCTCTTGCAGCCCGCCACGATCTTAGCGTCTCTTTCTCGTTCGTAGCTAGAACAGTTGGCGCTCTCGGAGATGATCACAAGCTTTCAGGGCGATTGACACGATTCTGGAAAAGTGCTCGTCAACAACTCAATGGTCGAGGCAAGACGAGCCTCATTGAGATTGCTCGACAGCTCATCAAAGCCATTCGAAAAGCGATTGAGAGCTCAAAGCCGGTTCTCGCAGAGAGAAATCGTAATAAGAGAGCATTCGAAAATCTTCTCGCTTACATCTGGGTCTTTGCACGCCTTCTTGCCGACGAGACACTAGACCTACCGCTATTGGCAGCGTCTGCATTCGTTGGTCGTTCAATATGCGCCAAGCATCAGCAGTACTTGCCTCACGACAGCCTGCTCGCCGAGTTCCAACTGGCACTCGCCAATCTGGGCGTCGCTACAGAGCCAGAAAGTCGCAATGTTTTTGTTGCTTTATGGGGAGCATTGATACCCAGTACCGCTAAGTCATTTGAAGGCTTGCAGGCACTGCTCAATTTCGAAGCTTTAGTCGAGGAGTTCGATCAGTTAACATCCGACTTCCGCTTACCTGTCAGACACATTATCGACCTGCGCCTTGCATTCCAACGATCACTGAACGTGAGTGCATCCTCTATAACAGATCTAGATGCACTTGCGGAAAATGTGAGGCAAGCCATGCCCAAGCCGGCTCCGTCTGTGGAGGGGGTCGACAATGCTGTACAGCCGAGCCCACACTTCGCTGCAAGCTTTGAGCTGCTCTGCCAACATTTTGCAGTGTTGTTATTGGCGGATCCATCGAGACTGCAGCATGAGGATGCTGTTGCAATAGAGGTGCTTGCTGGCAGAAAGACTACAGTTGGACTGAAGTGCTCCAGGAGTCAGCCGGCGGCGTCTTTCATGGAAACGATGCGGCTTCTAGGATTGAACATCCGCCATCTACGGGATCATGATGCGTCGAGTGGACTTCGTGACTCATCAGTCTGCGGCATAATCTTGCGCGAGATCCTGGCAGCCAAGGACGTCAGCTTGAAGAGTCTGGATCTGCTTGGGGCCGAATCGCAAATTATGAGCCAGACAGTCGCGTCCAAGGCCCATCTTGTACATCGAGAGACCTCACAGGATCTGACCCTTGTTCTTCGTCGCCTTCTGGAAGAAGTCCTGCAGACAGTCGCCAATGCTGCTGACGCCGGCGATATCGCGAGACATGCAGAGCACCTTCTTCAGCTTCTGCGAGATCGAGAGTCAGTATCAAAGGTCAATGGCACAACCGAAGTCTTGCCTATCGCGGATCAGCATATGGCGTCCATTTGCCATGACTTGACTAAGGCGAGCGACCACGTCCTTTCCAACCCGAGCAGCGAGGGAGCGGCTGCAGCTTGGCTGTACTTTGCCATTGCCTGCTTGAGGATTTACGTACCAGAGGATCCATTTGATCCTGTGCAGGAGGCAGAGATGCACGTGAACGTCCACGAACGCACTAAAGGTTTTCTGCAGTCGCGTTTGAACGCTCTACAGAACTACCGCCAGAATCGGTGTGGGGATGCAAATTCACTTCGTGCTCGCTTGGTGGCAGAAGAACTTGAAGAGCTGGGCGACGGACCACAGATTGTGCAAGTCTGTCGCCCTGCGCACAGTCAGCTTGTGCAGCTTCAAGGAGATTTGCAAGCCTTAAGACGTGTGTTGGCACCACTGCTCAATCAAGCGGGGCCGTTGAGTCCTCAGATACTCGACGAAAATGGCTGGAACAACTTGCGTGCCGTCCGCGCAAGGCTTGAAGACCAATATCGCGCGTACGCGGACTTGGCATCTCCCGTGGTTGGGTTCATTGATTGTCTCTTTGTGGCTCGGGATTTGTCTTTCGTGAAGCCCGAAGCTTCAGCACAAGGTACTTTGGCTCGCCTGACCCCATTCCTGGGTGCGAAATTGCAGGATTGGCTATCTGATACGCCTTTCGCACAAGCCCAGCAAGTCTGTCGCTCGAAGGATGATCATCTTGCATGGCTCTCCATCTTGGGCATCCGCAATTTCATGGTTTCGTCGGCGCAGCCATCCACATCCATCCGAAAAGCGGCAGAAGGCACCTTTGACCTTTTTTATGAAGCGTGGCAGACAGAACTCAGCCGCGATCAGAGAGCTGCAGCGGCAAAGTCAAGCCTGTACCAATACCGGGGAGCAGATGAGGATTCCGAAGAGGCGACAGCAGAGCAATTGAATGAACTCTTCCCGAGCTATGAAATGAGCGGCATCACTGCGCCAGCCATTGTCGCCCAAGACCTGGCACCTAGGATGTCTGAGCTCCACCATGCTCTGTATCGCGGCACGAACACTGACCCTGACAGAGTCATAGACCTTCTTAGCGAAGTCGCCCGCTTACCATCATCCTTACGCCTCGTGAACACACCTAGCATTGCGAACATGCTACATAAGCTCTCTACGGAACTCTCGTCGAGTGCGCAACGCAGCAGCAACATCTATTCTGAGCCCGACATTGGTCAATCTCGTGCTTTGGTGACGCTGCTCAAGCGAGTGCAAGTCCGGTTCGAGTCCATCCACAGTGTTTGGCCCGAGCATGCTGTGCCGATCGATATTCTTCGCATCTGCGAGCAGATCTATTCGATATCGTATGCTGAGCCGCTAGCACGCTTCTTCCAACCAGTCGAAAAGCTCCATGCAGCAGTAAATGAGTGGCAGAAAGTGGCTAGCTCAGAGTACTCTGCATTTGGATTACTTGAGGAGATCACCAATCTCTTGATCAGCTGGCGACAACTTGAGCTTTCCACATGGGCTGGTCTATTCCAGAATGAAGACATCAACGCAAAGAAGAGCGCTGCTTCGTGGTGGTACATTGCGTACGAGACAATCATTCGCGCGGCCGCAAGTGAAGCCGATGCAGGAATGTCTCTCGTGACCTTCGCTCATCAACTGATCGAGACACTGGGCGGCTTTCTCAATAGTTGCGGCTTGGGAGAGTTCAGCTTGCGCCTCTCGATGCTGCGCGACTTTGAGGCTGATATGAAGCACCGAAGTCTCGAATTCTCCGACCTGAGACCGGTACACCAGGCCTTGATCAGTCTGATCTCGTTCTATTCTCACTTCGAGAGCAGCGTCTCGGAATGTCTTTCCAAGAAACGCGCAGCTTTGGAGAAACAAGTCAAAGAGGTCATTCAGCTGGCTAGCTGGAAAGATCGCAACATCCTCACGCTTAGCCAGAGTGCTAAAACATCTCACAAGAAGCTATTTCGACTTGTGCGCAAATATCGGAATGTTCTCGGCGAGCCTGTCACGTCGCTTTTGCTTGGAGACTTTCCTCAATCTCCAGCGACAATCTCCAAAGGCAGCGTTGAGGCTGTGCCGCCTACTACGGCGGTCCAGGATACGCAACCGCTAGCGAGACATGAGGCCTGGTCGAGTCAACTTCAATCGTTGCCGGCCATTCTCCAGCAGCTTCGTGCCCAGCGTCAGTCTTACGAAAGCTTGTCAACTGCGCCTGCCAAAATTGAAAAGTTCCTCGAGGAGCTTGAAGAGGAGGGCAGCGAACTCCGCAAGGCTACGCCAAGTACTGCCACCGAGGAGAACAAGACTCTGATCCAGCATCTGAAGACGCGAAAGCGCAGACTACTCGCGGATGTGCTCCGCGATGTGCGCCTCATGGGCTTCCAGGCCAATATGAGTGAGGATGTCCTGCTCCAGCAAGCATCGCTCGCTGCAGTGTTGTCCAGGTCTTTGCCAGTTGCTTCATTTGGCCAGACTGTCGTCGGTGACAGGGCTGATCACGAGTTTCATCGACTGGCTCATGTCATGATTGCAGTTCGCGAAAGTTCTGTCAAACACAACGAGGATCTGACACCAGCCGAGATCGCACGCTCCGAGACACTTCTTGAAAGTATACTTCAGACAACAATCGAACAACGAGCCACTATATCAAAAGAGCTTGCAAATTTCGCATCCCTCGATACCGCTCTGCAACAGCTCTCAGGATTCTCATTACGCGAAGGCCTGACTATCACTGCCGCCAGACATCCAGGCCAGGATCTAACATCAAAGAGCAGTATTCTGCTTCGTATGGTCCAGACATGCGCTGTATGCGTGCGACGCCAAGGCGAGCTGGCAAAGTCCGATTTCTCAAATGTAATGGCGAGCCTTGAGGTGGCTACCGAAGCGCTCAGCAGCATTGACACCGACATTCGAATGCAAGAATTACCTCAGCATATTGAAGACCAGGCGATCAGAGTTGCCGGAATCAGGTTCGGTGAGGTAGTGACAACTCTGGCAGAAGCCATTGTTGAACACTATCGGCAACATCCTGAGCTTGAGCCTGTGCTTGATCAACTCGCAAAATGGCTGACTACCGGTAATTTCGCAGAAGACGCATTGCCTGAACAAGCTCTGAGCTTCGATCAGTGGTCAGACATGCTTTTCAGCGCTGTTAAGCAAGTTCAGCAGATCGTCACTGCGCAGCCCGGGCCCGGCCTCTTGTCAAAGAAAGCCTGGCTCATGGAGAATCAAGCCCAAGTTTACGATACAATGCGTGGTTTGAGTGTCCAGGAAGTGTCAGAGAAGATATCACGATTGCTGAGTGGCGTTGCACGCCTGAAAAACCGGTCATCGCCTGATCTTACGAAGGCTGCCGAACTCAGCCGCGCCATCCTACCCGTTTTGCAAGTCTATGCTCACAATGTTCAATTGGTGCTACAGCAGGCGTGCTCTTTGCATGTCGTCACGTGCAAGATGGGGTATCAGCTCTCCATTTCATTCATCCAGCTCGCGCGACAGGGTTTCTGTCAGCCATCCGAAAAGGCTGAAGACAATGAGCAGCAACCCGGACAGGTGGAGAGTGGTACTGGACTCGGCGACGGTGATGGTGGCGAAGACATCAGTAAAGACATTGGAGCAGATGAAGATCTCTCGGAACTTGCGCAGGACGCTATCTCGAAAGATAAGAATGAGGAGACTCAAGCTGAGAAAGATGCAGTCGACATGGCTGACGAAGATCTTCAAGGAGACTTCGATGAAGATGCTGGATCCGACAGTGAGGAGGAAGGCCAGGATAAGGAAGATGTAGACGACGGAGAGCTTGACGAAGAGACCGGACATGTAGATACCGACGATAATGCTGTGGATGAGAAGACGTGGGACGACGGCAAGAAGGCTGAAGAAGCAGAGAAAGAGGCAGAGAAAGGCAAAGGAACCAAGAACGATGATATGACGGCAGCAGACAATGCTGCGGGCGGTGAGGAAAACGAGCAGCAGGAAATGGAAGACGGCGAGGACAATGAGGCTCCAGATGATGGCAATGCGGGCGTCGATCATCAACAGCCGGAACAGGCCGACCCTCACATGCAGGATGAACAAAATCTCGATCTTCCGGAGGATATGCAGATGGATGGCGACCAGAAAGATATCAGCGATATTGAAGATGTCGAAGACGATGATATGGAAGCCGTTCAAGATGGCAAGGACTCAGATGAGGAAGAAGGATCTCGAGATGAGACGAAAGACCTTGACGTTGAGATGGGCGACGAGGAAGCGGACGAGGAACAACAGACTAATGGAGAGACTGTTGCAGACGAAGATCAAGCTGCTGGTGCCGAGGACCCTGAAGAGCAGCAAGATACTGCCATGCTTGACGACAAACCGGTTGAGCCAACCGAGCCAACAGATGCTTTAGTGTCTGCCGACAGTGGCCAAGGTCATGAAGAAGACTCTGCGAGGCAAGAAGGCGTTGCGTCATCCACCGAAACGCAAGCGAATGAGCAGGACGCCGAGCAACCGAGTGAGCAGACTGGCTCAGCAGAAGGCTCGAACAGAACCCAGGCCAACGAGACCTCTGGCCAAGCGGAGCCGGGGAGCGAAGACCAGAAATCACTTCCATTCAAGCAGCTTGGTGATATTCTGAAGCAGCATTACAATCAACACCGTCCCATTGAGGCTGCCCAAGAGCCGGAAAGCGCAGATCAGCCTGCTAGCAACGAGTTTGACATGAACGATCCACGATTCGAGCATCTACCAGAAGACGCCGACACGGAAATGCAGGCTATTGGCGCAGCGAATGTGGAAGATTCGAAGGCGTTGAACGAAGACAATGCGATTGATGTCAACGACAAAGCACCGGATACATTGCCTTTGCCGAAAGAAAACGAGCAGCTGCAACTCGAGTCTGACGTAGATGGAGAAGGCAACAACTCCGGCGCAACTGGCGATAATGTTGAGGCTGGCCTAAAGCGTAACGAGACCGTCATCGGCAAGACCAACGATGCGGACATCGATATGGCTGAGGCCCCGGATGAAGACAGTCCTGACAATGTCGAAGAGGTTGATGAGCAACTAAACAACACTCATCTGTCTCCAGACGCTCCACCTTTGATGTCAATAGAAGATGCACGACGAGCCTGGACGGAACACGAGAACAGGACTCGTAACATGGCTATTGTCCTTACGGAACATTTGCGCCTCATCCTACAGCCAACGCAAGCTACGAAGATGCGCGGCGACTTCCGCACTGGCAAGCGCTTGAATATCAAGAAGATAATCCCATACATCGCTTCGTCATACAAGCGCGACAAGATCTGGATGCGACGTTCGATACCAAGCAAGCGCTCCTATCAAATCATGCTGGCCATCGACGATTCACAGTCCATGAACGAGGATGAGCGCAAAGGTCTAGCATTCGACACTCTTGCTCTCGTCGCGAAGAGTATGTCGATGTTGGAAGTCGGCGAGATTGGCATCGTGGGCTTCGGTCAAAACGTCAACGTCGCACACGACTTCAGCATGCCGTTCACGACTGACGCTGGAGGTGAAGTATGTCGACAATTCAGCTTCTCGCAGACCAAGACGGATGTCAGAAAGCTCCTGGAGCAGTCTATCGAGCTCTTTCGCACAGCTAGAGCGCGAGCCACCGGATCTGCGAGCGATCTTTGGCAGCTCCAGCTCATCATCTCCGACGGGCTGTGCGAGGATCACAATGGCATTCGACAGCTCGTGAGACAAGCTCACGATGAGCGGATCATGGTCGTCTTCATTGTCGTGGATAGCGCGGCACCTTCATCGGGTGCTGCCAAGGCTTCGGAAAAGCAGAGCATTCTGGATTTGAATGAAGCCAAATTCACGATTGGTCCTAATGGCGAGCCTGATGTGCAGATGGTAAGGTATCTGGACACATTTCCCTTCAGGTACTATCTCATTGTGAGAGATATCCACGAGTTGCCGAGCGTACTTGCTGGGGCTTTGAGGCAATGGTTCTCGGAAGTGGTGGAGTCGGGTAGCTAGACTGATGTATACATTTCACTGATCATTACTGTTGTTCAACACTTGCAAGAGCTTTTTCTTTGCTCCCAGTTCGCTGTCATGCATGCCATTGGCTAAATAGATCTGGAGCAGGCGGTACCGTGGTTTTCGAGCAAAGAGGCGTCACAGAGAGAGATGGTTCTCGTTACAACCGCACGTGAGGTCGTGTTCGCTGAAGGTTTGAATGCCATCTCCGCAGTCCTCCACTTTCCGGCTCCTTGGCCTGGACCATGACTTCAACACTGCGGTTTGCCAGAAATCCGGAATACAGAGTTCGATTGGATATCTAGACGGCGCAGGAAGGAAGCCTTGAAATGGTCCTGGACGTGGGAAGACAGAGCACAATAGACTGTAGAATAGCAGGAGTTACCGTTCTACAGGGAAGAGCTTGGAACAAAGGTTGCCAGCGGGAGCCGTGCGGAACATCAGTGAAAGATGCAAAGCGCGGGATTGATCTTGATACATCGTGAATGGATGTTCTCCCGGCTCGTCTGTCTCGCTGGATGCTCTCATGATCTTTGAAAGGGCGGGAGCATCGTGAGACGGACGCACCCAGAGGCTATGGCGCCTGGCTTGGAGAGGAGCATGTCTCGCACGAAACCGGGCAATCATTGTCGGCATCGGCCAGAGTAGAGGGGCGAAGTCTTGAGGTCTTGCATGTGGATACACACAGTCAACGTGCTGCATACGTATCGCTTTCCGAGAAGTATCCGGGACATGGCACTGGTGGCTGGAATCAGACATGGCCAGAGAGCATGGAGGTCCGCAGCTCCAGCAGACCGTGAGTTCGACGGCATGAAAATCTCCTGTACAACATTCATGGAGTCTAATGGAACGTTGAAAGACGATCCTTGCTGCAAAGGTCCGGGTTCGATTGCAGCGCCTTGAAGCACCAGTACGGCGTCTTGACCACTGCAGAACTCCACTCACAGAGTTGCCAGAAGTGGTTCCGTTGTATCTCCTGGCATTGTTGCCCGGAACACAGGTCGATGGCCTGAAATCTTATCAGTCGTCCAAGAAAGTGGATATGCGATGTCACCCCACGATAATTGATACTTTTCCAGAGGAGCATTGCTCTGGCTGCTTCAAAGTCGAACTCATCGTCGCAACTACCTAGGTAGCTCGCTTTTGCAAAGGCGGCTGCGATTTTGGAGCTGTCCAAATTAACGATGGATAGTTTTCTGCTCCGGCCGTGGGCGCAGGGCTAGTCGTACTACTTGGCAAGCATACTCTGCCGATTGTTCCCAAGGATGCAAGACCAGATGTCCGCACATGGCATAACTGGATTCGCGCTCCTGAAGACTTGGAGCAGAGATGCGGCCAATATTTCCGGAACCATTTTAGAACCGCGTACTTCGACAGCGCAACTCTGCGCTCTACGGTCATTGAGACGTTGTGAGGCGCGAGACCAATACCATCATCAATCCACTGTCTGGGAGCCGCTCAGCCATCCTGGCAGCGATGTTTAACAGATCAATCAAGCTCGCTCTTGCAGTCCGACTATTCTCAGGCCAGCTCGGTGACCCTGCGTCTTCTATGTCGTCAAATAATTGAAGTCCATAGCGATGCTGGTACCATATCTCACAGACGCGGAATACTAGCCGAGCAATCTGGTCGTGGATGGAAGGTTGTGACGCTTCTGCCAGTGGTGGTGGTGGTGGTGGTGGTGGTGGTGGTGCTGCTGCTGCTGCGGCCTAATGGCGTAATGATGCGGCGGCAGCGGTAGTGCTGTATGGTGTTGACTGGCTTTCTGGCTATGAGAATGTGCTATAGCGGGAAGGCGGGACAGGTCGACGTCGTGAATGCGAAGCGAGGGCAAAAGCGTTTGCAGAGCGATGGTGAGACGGTGTTGAGACAATGTCACGGCGGCACGACACACAAGCAGCATACCGCGACGGCAAGACGCAGAAACGCAGACACAACAGACGACGACGGTGACAACTGAAGACACTCTTCTCCAGGACACTGCGAGCAGCAGAGGCATGATGAAAAGATGGGTCGCGTCGGCTGGAAGTAGTGCGATACCAGCGACACGGTGCCGCGCAGACATAAGCAAGCTCAGAGGCCTGGCAGCTGGTGCCAAAAACTGGTGAATATTGAATCGTCGCCGTAGCGACATATCAGATATTACACTGATAAGAACAGATACCTGGAAGCAGTCAGCAACGGTGTCGATGCAGGCGATGTAGGTGGTGGCGACTTACTACACTTGATCTAAGCCAAAAGGCTGTGATGGATGTCAGCAGGTGTATCAAAGCGTCGGGGTCGGGTCAACTTGCCAAAGAGAAGTGAAAAGAGGAAGAGGAAGACACACAGGAAAGAAGTTCTTTTATTCAGTCACTCGAGGGCGCACGAGCCACCCGCATTGCGGCCCGCCGCGCGCATTCTGAGATGTACTGAGGAGTCGAGGAGAGAGGTCGCGGGTCTGAAGCGGCTCGGGAGCTTTGGGCCCTGCAGAGGGCATGGAGAAGACGAAGAAGCTCAGTATCCAACGATGCTATGATGGGCGGAGGACCTCCAGCCTGCTTTGTGAGGATGCATCGGCATCACAGGTCAAGGCGTTCCAGAGAGATACCTTTGTTATTCTGCGGGCACGTCTGACACCCCCAACACATAGAGAAGGATGAGGGCAGAACGGGTAATGTTACGTCTTAGTCGGGACACAACTGGCCACTGCGACCACAGGCCTGCGTCTCAGGACCCAAAGCTTCCATGGCGGTATGAGATCTTGCCGAGCATAGATCTGACGCCTACCTCAAGGAGACGCTTGCGAAGGCGGAGAGTGTCCGGAAGCAGTGTCCCAATTCCAAGGCCACGCACGAGCACCAAAAGACTGAGACTCACTTGCTTCCAGAGGCACAGGACATCACTCGTCGGCCGAGGCAGGGCTCTCCACTGTGAGCCTACGCCATGTGTGCTTCTCCCTCGCAGCGCTTCACCTGATACTGCTTCTTGTCCTTCTTCTAACCCGTTCGCTGTCCTCCTCCTCATCACTGCTATTGTCTCCGTGCAGGGGTGTGTCCGCTGCGCCTTTAAACCTGCCACTTGGGGCGCGTATTGCGCTGATTCGACGGTCGAGTTCTCGTTTCCCACCTTCGGCGCTGTAGGAGAGAAAGGTCACCCACGACCAGCGATCATGAGAGCGGGATAGGAGAGGGAGGTTTGACGGTGGAGGATTACGCACAATTCGTCTTCTTGCGCTCCGTGTCGGCCACTGCAGAACGAAGGTCGGCCATGACTCTCTCTGCGCGCTTCTGAAGAAACAGAAGAGGCATGGCAGTGAGCTTCCGCCCAACACTAGTGTCCTCACACTCAGTATCTCTCATCCCGCAACGGCGTGCAATGGCTCAGATCGAGATCTGATTGCAACGCGCTATTGCCATCGTGAGCTTGAGTCCGCCAGCACTAAGCAGCAGAGTGGCGATAAGAGACCGCACCGTGCATCTGCTCTAATTGATGGGCACGGAACATTCACCATACTCTAGAACAGACATGGATAGCTGTCAAGCTACCCTCAGGCGGAAGTGGCAGGATGAGATGGTGTCGCAGGAGAACTCTTCTCACTTCCACTCATCCGCGGCTCATCCTGCTTCTCTTAAAGGCCACCAGAGGTGCAATTGGGACGTCGATTGCGCCTTGCATGTGCCTGCGTCGAAGTACTTGCGGGTATCGTGTACAGTGAACCGTCACAAGCGCGAGAGCCCCAGCATGTGACACAAAAGTGAAGCCATGCGCGCTAGGCTGCACCACCCTTTCTTCTGCAAACATTGCCTTTGCTTCACTTGCGCGGCGACAAACACTTCTCGCACATCCACCTTCACCTGTCTCGCTCTCTTACACAACATCAAGCGCGCCACTCCCTTCATTTCCAACACCACAAAACAATCTCAATATGAGTCGCGGCAAGACGCCTCGATTCGGCGACGACGTCGGAGGCGAGAGCTTTCCGACATTTGCCGACGGCGACGTCAAACTCACTATCACTGGCGCGCGGCAGTACCAACTTCACAGCGGTGTTCTCAAGAATGCCTCTCCAGTGATGCGCGAGCTCCTGGACAACGCGAACGCGGCCGACCTCTCCAGACGCGCGCTCAGCAACGGAATCGTCGTCCGCCACAAGCTCGTCCTTGTCCACAATCCCGACAACGATGATGAGGAACAGGAAATCGACTATGTCCTCGAGCCAGTCCTCCTCGATGCCATGGGACGCCCATCCGGCAACAATCCGGCCGGCGTGGGCATGGAGCTCGAGGAAGGCCGTCGCATCAACCCAATTTTCATGGCCTACGATGCTGTCTTGGGCGCCATGTACAACCAGCCCATCAATCTCGGCGACTCGCAACAAGATGGATTGTCTGACTTGCTTTCCAACGCCTTCCAGGTCACCGTGGTCTCAGAGTACCTTGACTGCATCCGCATCGTCAGCAAGCCAATCGAAGCGACTCTTCTCGCTACAGGCCAGAACCTCAACCGAGCCATCGCCTCCAATCCCGTCCCGTGGCTGACCTTCGCAGCCCGTGTCAAATCTCGCGCCATCTTCAAAGAAGCTCTCATCCACGCGGCCGGCCAATTCAACCAGCCAAGCGTCATGGAGAAGATCAATAGAGACGAGGTCCCCGGTGATGTTCTGGAAGTACTCGTACGCAAGGGCAGGTGGGTGCAGAAGACTGTTTCGGACTCGACTCGCTATCTTGCCTCCTACTACCCATCGATGCTTTTGCGTGAGGTTCGCCCAGGTGACAAGGAGAATGTCAGTCGCGCCTCATACGGCAACGATATCATGATGTGGATCGCAGTCTGCATATTCCGTCACTGGATCTGCGACCTCATGGCTTCCGACCGCACTCACCACGCACCTGACATGGGCTGGGCCTTCATCAACGCCGTCTGCATGGGAGGCGACATCTACCTCTCGCGTCAAATGCTCCAGCACAACTTCCACGTGCGCTTTCCAATGACGGGCAAGGGCATGGCTTGTGTTGAGCATCGTCTCGCGGAAATCAAGGACGATGTCAAGCAGTGGGCAGTTGTAAGTCTTCATCCCCTTCCGTTTACGAACTTACAATACTGACTTCGCAACAGCCACTCAAGATCAATAACTCCTCTCTCGACCTGAGTCAGATGCCAGTCAGCCACTTCCTGCACATCAACGTCAACAATCATGACTTCCCGTGGGTTGCAGCTGAGGAAATGATGGAACAAGAGATGAAGCCCTTGAAGAACACCCGGAACGACGAGGCGCATCAAGAGACTCCGCCGCCATCGGGCTCCAAATCGATCATTCCCAATGGTTTTACGAGTGGTACGCCGCCGGAGGAGGACTCCGACGATGAGATGATTGACTTCAGCGCCTTCCGTCGTCGCAGTCGCAATAGCCCAGTCTTCAACACTGCTGAAACTAGTGATTACGAGTACGATACCGATGTGAATACTGAGGACGAGGAGCGCGAGATGATGCAGAGCGCTCTCGATGGCATGAGGGAGGAGACGCAAGCTTAAGGAGCTCCGTCCAGGTGACGAGTAGAGACTTTCCGTCGGAGAGCGAGACGAGTTGAAACATTGGCCAGGAGTGTATCTTGTGTCAAGTGCCTTGAAGGATTGAGAGGAAGCCACACCGGATGGCTTAGACAGCCATAGCATGCCGCCAATACTATACTGGAATCTATCCAAGCACATCAAATGGCGCAAGGCACGGCTCCACCAGATGACTACAGCTGAGGTCGCGGCGTCAAACAGCATAGCTTTGTCTCAACCTTTGCTTTTAGGTTAAGTCCTTTTGGCTTGAACACACATTATGGCTCTACTTTCCTTTCGTCTTATTAGCCAGTTCCATGCAAAGTCCACAACTTGAAGCCTCCCGGCAAAGCCTTCTGGAAAAGACCTTTTGGATCATACTTCTTGCTCACGTTTCGCAAAAACTCGACCTCATCCTCGCCATACCCTCCAATGGGATCCTGCCACTTATCCGCGTAGTTGAGATAAATGCTTCTCTGCCAAACGCCCATCTCTTTCGCCAAATTCTTTCCTTCCATGTACAATTTCTGGAATGCAGTCTCCACTCTATCATCATGAATCGAGCTTCCCCAGGTGACACTCGACAACACATTAACGATGTTTCCATCTTCGGGACGGTAGCCGAGCACGTTACCACCTGTAGTCTCTGCTTTCGATGTTATGATGCGTGGAATTGGTTGAAATGATGCGCTGCAGACGATGTCAGGTATGGCCAACAGAAGGCTCTCGGAGGTGGCATTCAGCATTTCGAGGAATTTTCTGCCAAAGTTCAAGTCGTTCTTGTATGACAACGTTACGAACATGGATCGGCTACCTGTGCCAGTGACACCGTCTTCCTCCTTTGGGCTGCGCTGTTCGGTGAGCTCGTCTGTGAAAGACCATAGGGGTGCTACGCGGGTTGTGTCGACAAGCGGAGCCTGGATGTTGGCTAGGCTATGTAGAAATGATGGTGTTTCCTTTAGCGCAGGCGTTTTGGTATAGCTGCTCACAACAATTTCCTCAGTCAGCTAGTGGCCAATGTAACGATATGTTCGTTCGCTCGACTAAAGCCCACAGAAGAATTTTGTTGCCCGCTGAACCGAAACACTTGACTTACGTTAACACGTGCGACAGCACACGTTGTCCAGTGACCCATGAATAGGACAGTATTACTGCTGCATACTCGTCGTAATCGTCACTTCCAGCCAATTTGGTGAATTCCACAAGATGTTCGTCAGCTGCTGAGAAGTCGTAGTACGCCAGTCCGCCCCAGAAGTCATCAACTGGGAATGTACGCAATCTGAATTCAGTGACGACTCCGAAATTGTTGCTGCCTCCTTTCAAGGCACGGAATAAATCAGGCTTCTGAGATGCTGAAACTATTTCGATTGCGCCTGACGCAGTGACCACTTCGTAGGACTCTATGCCATCGCAAACGAAACCGTACCTGGGCGAGAAGAAACTGATGCCGCCTCCAAGTGTCTAGTAAGCTTTGATTAGCTCATGGCTCCCAAACATGTTGCGAATGGGCTTACCAGACCTCCAACACCGACGCTACTCACGCGGCCACCAGTGACACTCAATCTGTGCTCGTCAAGTGTCCTGTACACTGCGCCCCAAGTCGCACCTGCACCCACAGAAGCAATCGAATGGTCCTCAGATAGCTTGACATTGTTCAACTGCGTGAGATCTACAGTGACGCCATTCTCGATATTCGCTGCGCCTTGCCATGGCGTGTGGCCACCACTCCGCACTGCAAACTGACAAGCTGCTGTCGCGTGGGCATCTAGAGCGTTGAAGCGGGAGATTGTGCTTACAATGCTTGAAACGTCGTCGGCGGATGTTGGCTGAAGTACACATGCTATAATGACTGTCAGCTGGATAGATATCAAGCAGTCAGGACAGCTGCTTTGGCAAAGCTGACCTGGACGATTTTCTCTTGCTCTTCCCGACCAGTAACTCTGAGTCGAGCTGTTGTATACCGCGTCACCCGCAAAACTGACTTTTGTGCCGAGTGTGTCAGCGATGTGAGTGCAGCAGTCTGCGCCAGTAGTCTCTTCAAGAAAGAAGTCATCATTGAGTTGGGCACGGTATTCAGCACTTTGGCCAAGGTGTGCGAACAGAAGTACAATGCAGCGAAGCGACGAGAGCGCAGACGAAGAGAGCTGAAGCATTCTGACTCCAGTATTGCCCGGAGCACGAGAAGGAGAGGAAAAATTGCGGAAGGCCTTGCCAGGGCCTAAATAGGACACTCGATCGCACCTGCAGCTGTGTTGCAACGATCGAAGGCGTAGTGGCTTCATGAGCTAACCTGCTGTCTGACAGAATTCTGCGCAGTATGTCATTGTGCGTTGTCTGCACCGATTATGTGCCCTCTTGAAAACTCTTATTTTCTGGTTCTTGTACTGTTCTTCCAACGAATGCTTCCAATATGGACGTCCATTTTTCGCAGTCACTGCAGCCACGCAACAGCGCAGGTGTGGTCTCGCTCGGAACTCCTGTTTTCGGTCATGCCGTGCTCCTCTCAGCTCGTCTCAGGTGAGAGCATTCGGGGCAAGAACTGCTTGCGCAAATGGTATGGACGCTTCCGTCTTCCCGTCTTCCGGTATTCCAGTGCATGCAAGTGTGCTGATGGAGGATGGAGGATGTCTTTCACGACACCGAATGCCTGCACAAGATCGTTGCCGGCGCGGAAATTTCGGCCAGAGATGTAAAAACCTTGGTAATAGTAATAGTAATAGTAATAGTAATCCTATAGAGGAGTCTGTAGCAATAGCAATAGCAATAGCAATAGTAATTACTATTATACTATTTAGTATAGTAAATTGTATTCTATACGAGTCCTACTAGTAGTATTTATTTTTCTAGAATATATTTAAATATTATAATGTTTGCTATAGACATATCTAGTAAAACTATAGAGATATTAATTCTTAAAATTCTAATAATAAGTTCCTATAGAAACTAATATCTTTATAGTTTTAATAGATAAACTATTAAAAGAATCTACTTATTTATTAGTAATTGCTATTATATAATTTATAATAGTAAGGTGTTCTATATATAAGTCCTAATACTTGTTTTTCTAGAATATATTGCAATATTTACTAGAGCTATATCTAGTAAAACTATAGAGAAAACGATTATATAGTATAAGATAGACAATATTAGGGCTAAAGAGGTTATACGTAATTAGCATATAACTAGGCCAAGTAAAGCTAGGGTCTTAGTGCCTTAGGCAGGGCTTGGCGCTTAGCAATAGGCTAACTTGCCTGCCTTCCTCCCTCTCCTCCTAGCTCCTTATCGAATACTACCTATACCTACTACTACCCTATCTATCTGCTAATATACCCTTCTTATATAGTATTCGATCTACCCTTTAAGGGCAGTAGCTAGATAGTTCTTATTTCAAGCTTTTAGCGGTATAGCTACGAATAAGACTAATCTAACTATATTACGCCCGAAGAACAGGACCTATACGTACTATTCTATCGAAATAACTATACTAATTATTAAGCAAGGCCTTCTATACGGCCTATTATACTAAGTCAAGCATACTAGACCGATATCTACTAATTCCGCTATATCCGTATCTTAGGGGCTAACAATACATTATTAGTACTATCCCTTATTATAATAGCCGGCTTATTACGAAACAACAATCGCGGCGCCGCTAGTAGCGCTAGCAACGACAATGCTAGTAGTATAGTACCTACTGAAGTGCCTCCTACTAAAGAGCCTGCCGGAGAGCCTACTAAAGAAGAACCTATAATTCTAGGTAATAATCCGGAATTGCCTATTAACGATATTCTTAACAATATTGTTAATCGACGATATAGCTAACTAGCCTTTAGGCCTTAACTATTAGGGAGACTTTAAGAAGCTACCTAAAATAGGCTTACTGCCCTACGTTAAGAACAATAGCTAAAGGATAACCTCCTCGAGCTCCGTCGCCTTTAGGAAGCCCTAACGACTACTACTAAACCTATAGTAGGACCTTCTTTACTACCTATCTAAAAGAAGGATACTAAACTCAAGGACTGCACCGTGTTTAACGGGTCTAGTCGCAAGTAATACAACGACTATATTCGTAACTGTAAGCTTAACTAGCGAAACGTACTAAGGGCTCTTCTAGACGACTATTTATTAGTTGTCTACGCTATATAGTATATTAATAGCGACCTAAAGCGTACCTAGGATAATCATTTCGATTCCCTCGATAATTAAACCGCTATTTAGTAGCAAACCTATAAAACTATTATACTAGACACCCTTAGTAACCCTATACTAAGGCAATAATATGCTTAGGACCTGTATCTTCGAGCTAAATAAAAGACTAATTAATCGGCTCGTTTATTCGAGGCCTACTTAAAAACCCTTAAAGACGACCTTCCGCCTAAGACTAATTCTATATAGATCTCCGAGATACGCCTAAAACTTAGGTAGGAACTTATCCTCGAATTAGACCGTCGCCGTGTATTCGAACAAGCTAACTTAATACGCATTTAATTTATAGTCGAAGTAGAAACAGCCGAACGAGCTGTCTAGCTCTAATAACGACTAGAATTAAGAATCCGACTAGCTAGTACTAACCGTAGTAACCGTAGTAGCCGCGGAGGAAACTAAGGTTCCTACTATAATAACAATACTAATAATAGGAACAGTAACGACCGTAGAAGAGGCCGTAGCCGACGGCTATATAGAGGAGGCCGCGATAGGGGCCGTAGAAGAGGCTCGTATCCCTATAGTACTAATCGCTTAACTAATAATAGTAGCAATAGCGGCTATAGCAACCCCCTAACTAGATTGAAGTGCTTTAATTGTAATAGTACTAGCTATCTACTAGGCTAATGCGACAAACCTAAGGACTAGGCCCGAATCGACCGTGCTACCGCTAAGTACTATAAGTACCTTTTAGCCGCTAATGCTACCCCTATCGGTCCTTCGAAAAAAGAGTAAGCGCTACACTAACTATTAGCCTTATACGGCGTAAGACTATCGACATTGTACTAGCTATTATACGTACCTATCTTGTATCGGACACGTATAGAACTAACTATAAGACTAAAGTTACACTAGATCTAGGAAATTTAGTTAGTGCCTTTATCAGCTATCGCCTAGCTAAGCAATTAGACCTTCGACAACTGCCTAGGACTAACCTACTAACCCTTGCTTAGTTTAATAACGCTCGGCACTTAACCTACGGAGCCTACTATATCTATATAGCCCTAAGAGACGACCTCGGCAATAAGCGCCTACTAAACTTTACTGCCTACGCAGTTAATACAGACAGCCCCCTATCTAACATTATTATTAGCAACCCTGTTCTTAAGTACTATACTATAGTTATAGACTTAGGCAGTTAATAATAGCGATTTAGAATCGCTAGGAAAGAGGACATTAAACACATTAATATTAGCGAGTACCCTAATAATATTAGGGTCCTATTTATTAGCAACCTAACCCTAGCTAATCCGACGGCCGACCTGCTCGGTAGTAATAACGATAAACTAGTGCCCCCTAATAGCATAGATCCTAAACAACTTAAGCGTATACTAGAACCCATTCGAGAGACCTATATTAATATGTTTAAATACTACTTAGTATCGACATTGCCTATATTTAAAGAGACGGATTATAAGATTAATATTATAGAGGGCAAGGAGGTTCCTTTTAGGCCCCTCTACAACCTTAGTAAACGAGAGCTTGCTATATTGCGTAAGTATCTAGAGGAAAACCTAGCTAATAGCCGGATACGGTATAGTAACAGCCCTGCTAGCGCCCCTATCCTATTTGTACTAAAGAAGGATAGTAGCCTACGCCTATATATTAATTACCGTAGACTTAATACTATTACTATTAAGGACCGTTGTCTACTTCCGCTTATTAATAAGACCCTCGATCGCCTCTCTAGTACCTACTACTATACTATATTAGACATTAAGGATATATACTATCGTATCTGTATCCGCAAGGGAAATAAATAGAAAACAGCCTTCCGTACCCGCTATAGCTATTTCGAGTACTTAGTTATACTATTCGGCTTAGCTAATATCCCTATAATATTCTAGTCCTATATTAATCGGGCCCTTTCGGGCCTATTAGACTATCTCTATATAGTTTACCTAGATAACATCCTAGTTTACATACATTTACCTAATATTATAGAACACTAGGCCGTAGTGCGTAAGGTCCTCGACCGCCTACGGGCCTATAGCCTATATTGTAAGCCTTCTAAATGCACCTTTGCTACTAAAGAGGTGTCCTTTCTTAGCTTCCTCGTATCTACCGAGGGTATTAAGGCTAATCCTAATCGGATTAAAACTATTACTAAATAGCCTATTCCTACGTCTATTAAGAAGCTTTAATCGTTCCTCGGCTTCGCTAATTTCTACCGCCGTTTTATTAAGGGCTATTCGAGGCATATAATGCTGTTAACTAAGCTTACTAAGACTAACTTAACTAAGGCAAACCCTTCTAGAGAGTTTAGGTAGTAAAGGACGGAAACCAATACCACTACTACTACTTGTAGTAATAGTACAGGCTACCGAGGGTAACATAACCTATAGCAATATAGGCAGCTATGTTTAGCAAGATAGGATGACGAGACTGTCGCTTAGGCTGATGACTAGAGCCCTGCAATATAGGCATTATAGAAGTGTAATATGAACAATATGCTATACGAGGTTAATGCCCTATCTACAATATAGAAGGAGGCCTCTTATATAGGCTCAAAACTAGCCTATAGGTGTAGGGCCGGTTACTAGCTAATATCCCTCCCTTTCTTCGTGTCTAACTAGACACGCTTTACATTGCGCGCTCAAAATAAACATGTATGCGCGCTTAAAACAAACATGTATGCATCCTTAGCGTTCTTAGCTAAGGCTATTTTCAGAACTCCGCAATAACACCCCTAGAGTAGCATTAATCCTAGATACTATAATTATGCAAAAACAACTTCCTAAGCAATACTATACAGACCTACTATTGCTTTAACGCGCCGTAATCCTTACTAGTAATAACCTTATCTGCTAGTCGG